CATATGATACGAAAGCCGAATTATCATTCATTCAAAATAATTCCTAGTTTAAAAACATAGCTAAAACATGGTTACCTCCATCGATGTTAAGTTCATCTTCGATAGTGCACGTTTAGGGTTGTTCAGCTCCGCAGATATTCTCCAAACAGCAGGTGTCGCCCTTCGAGTTGTCTTCTTGCTGTTCTTGCCATCTTTTTAGCTATTATTTTGCCTAGTTCTTACTATTGAAGCGAATGATATGTCCGTCATTTCTGTTTTCACAACCAAAACAACTCAACCTCGTCCCCGGGTCTTCTCGGTTAACGGTGCATTAACCTGCAAGGAAGCTGCACTTTTGACGTTATCGGTTCATTAATCGCAAAATTATTCCAAATCTTGTCATCAGTAGCTGGTTATCGTGAATTATGCGTGTGCTTTTAGCCAATCAGAATCGGGGAAATATTTTGAATGAATTATTAGTATTCATAATGTTTCCAGAAATGGGTGAAATGACTGTAATTTCTATTGTTCTCCAATTATTGAAGACAATTAGCGATGGTGATCTTCTTGTCAGTCGGAGAAGCTTAATGCTGGTTGGTTCTCTCAAAATCTTCATTCAATTAAAGTTTACCACAGTCAATGACTTTATTTCCACTGTCTATTCCTCCAATTACTGGATATCATTCTGTGAGGATATTTATTTTCAGTAAATAAAACCATCACACTGAGTCTTTAAAACAAAAATGCTGCCCTTGAAATAATTGGTTATTCAATTGTTTATTTGTAATATTTATGATGGAGGGAATGGGGTCATGCATGGCTGGGACCTCGATGTGAAAGACAAAAAAGGAACTTAAAATATGCTGAAATGGAAGTGTGGTCATTATTCAAATACATAGTGATACGGTGAGAAAGCGAGAGAATCTCATATCTGTAGGATTCTCTGGGAATGCATGCGATTTACTTTTCTCTATTGCAGTAGCCCATACCGTAACTCTAAAAGTAATGTAATTTTTTATGAGGAATTTACTCAGGGTTTTACCTCTAATTATAATTGAAGTACCTAGTGGTCCAGTCCAAAAAAAACTTACTATCGCCAAAGCTGTCTTGTATGTACCTAGCATTCATTCAGTTCAATAATACACCTTTATTTATTACTTCATTCCTTGAGAAAGTCTTCAAGAATCGAAATATAAGCTTACTTAGCTTGTAAATTTCAAATAAGCAATCCAAAGAATGAACTCAAGTGGACCATTGATCAATTAAAGCTAAGTGATCGAGACCTAATTGTATCTCAAATCTGTGGGACATTTGTCTAGCCCATTACATTGTTGACCATCATTCAAATTCTTAATCGGTCAGTAAAATGTGTATTCGCAATAACCTTCGCTGTCTGGAAAGGTGAACGCACATAGTTGACACAGCTTGCTTTGCTTGCAAGATGTCTTAGTAAACCCGGCTAACTTTCGACGACGCCAAGTAACATGTTTTAAAAGCATCTCGACCACTTTGCCGCGAGAAATTTATAACATCTTTGATGGAATAAACTTTTTGTGCCAAAATATTCTGAATTCTAGCACAATTGTGGCTAACATCGGCAAAAGGGCGTGAATCGCGGAGATCGTTCTAGCTCGACGGTATCGTTGTAACTGAGCCCCTTAATAATTCGCCCCATGATCCTTTGCGAACTGCTGCCCAACTTTCTCTGGTTATAGACTGGAAAACAGTCCGTATTTTGGCGTCTTAAAGTAAGCGCGAGTAGTAAAGCAAAAGGTCTGGAACGAGGTTGAAAACGGAGAGCGAGACTGGGAGAGACGCCTCACATTACGCCTCACATGCCCTACGGGTGTGTAAGGCTCCGGTATGCCACGCTTTGCCGATTTCTTTCTGATTTTGAGGAAAAAAACCCGACTGTTTTGCAGTCTATCATTATTGTTAGTAAGATCACAAGCAACGAACCTTGAAACACAGAAGTACACAAAACGGATCCAGAGATCCACCAATCACAGATCACAAACCATGGCCTTTTGAACCTGTTTGAGTAAAGTTCTGTTTCCTAAGAAGTCCGCTAAGATGATTGACGGCAGCGAAAAACACAAACAGCTGTTGGCTTTTGACTTTAGAGTTCGTATGTTTTTGAAAAACGCGGTAAGCTGTGAAAAGTGAAAAAGATTGGTTGATTTTTGTCATGATAATGGTGATGGTGATCAGAAAGATGATCAGAATGAAAACAATCCATAATCATTTGTTGTCAATGAGAGCCAAAAAGAGTAAATGTAAAATAAAAAATGATCAAATGTAGATAAAGCTTATCTGGTTACTTCACAAAATACCGAGACATTGATTTTTTTAGTACATTAATAATGAAACGTCCTTCATTAAACTTGGAGATAGGGGGCTGACTTTACTTGTGTTGTATATTATCTGTAATGCTACAACTATTTAATCCTAAAGTGACATTTTATATAAAATTGCATCTTCCTTTCCTGCCCCGCGCGCGCCCTCAATATCCTCTTCCCTCCTTCCCTTTGCTACTACTGTGCTCTGCTTTGGCACTTTCCAGTTTGATTTTTTTCTATGATTAACGATCGAAAGACAGCTGAGTGCAGATTATGTTTGAATAAGCAACGCTGTGCTTTTCTACTTTCATTTAGTGTGAATTTTTGTGGCCTTCATGTACATATATGGAGAAACTTCATTTTAATACGTCCTGGTAAAGTGTAACACGAATTGATTTCTGTTTTGCACTTCAAATGCATCGTCGGGGAGAAACTATAGGCCATATATGGTGGTAAGGGGTAACAAAGGTTACATTCTGCTTTACTGTCAAATCAATCTTCTGAAGGAAATTAAACTCAGTGCGGGGGAAACAGATAGCAAAAAGGCAACATATCGGCACAGACTACTTTAAATTACTTTATTCTTAGCAAAATCCGGTTTAAAAACTACAGAGCTGTTTTATAATTCTCTATAATTCTCAGGTAATATATGGGATGCGGCTCTTCGTTCGGCTTAAGCCAACAGGCCGTACACGTCAGCACATGATTTGCCACGATTATCACTTTCGCTTGCAGGGCCGCGCAAATCCTCTCCATACCACAGACGCAGCTCACTGTTGGCAAAGACGCACTGAGGCTTCTTTGAGACACAGAACAGGAGGACGGGGGAGGAATCGCTGTAACCTGCCAGTTTGTACCATCCATACTTGGAGACGATCGACGACTGTGGAGCCAGTAATTTATTGCTCTGATCGGTCAAAAGGACGCCAAGCTCTAGACCACCGGAAGTTCCCCCCAGTAATTGTAATTGCGACTATCAGACGACACCTTTCCCGAGCGGTGCACGATCATAAACGAGCTTACGAAGATGTTTCGATGGTAAGAAAAACGACCAAACTGGTCTCCCCGCGCACCGAAGCAGACGGGCGACTTATTCAGTTTTACCCAGCGAGGACAGGTTTTTGATGAAGCTTCGTACTGAGCCAAAAATATCGCCACCATGAAGGCAATCAACCGGAATTTGAATTCCATTACTTGTGTTCGCGCTGTAATCAAAGGAAGAGTAAAAAGAGGGCTATAGTTCACATACGTTTTTCGATAAAAAATTTTTTGTCATCATCCGCGTGAATTGTAATACGGCCCTTCTAAAACAACGTGCTTGAAAATAATAACTTTCCACACTGTATCAAGTTCATTTTTCTATCTTAAAAGAGCAAGACTGAACCAGAGAATAAATGTTATTTTTATACTGGGGAGTGAGTCGAGCAGAGCCACGTGAACCAAAAAAAAAAAAACTAACGTATTCTTCTGGAACCAACTGTGACTCAAAGCATAAACAAAATTTTCAGAATATTCTTTTAAACTGAAAAAGAACATCACGAAAGCTCTCGCAATAACGTACCTTTTATGCCACTATACTTCTGTAATACTGGGGTTTCAGCGAAGGACTCAGCCCGTCAGATATTTCCAGTAGCCTCCAAATATAAGTGAGAATATAATTCCTCATTTCTTGGTTTTCATCTGCTTCAACCCGATTGATCAGAACGGAATAACTCGAATTTTCTCGACAATATGTAAAACGACGACCAATTTAGTGACTGTTTTTATTCGCTACGGTTGACATATTTTAGTCTGAGCAAATCACTGAATAAACACGTAAGACGTAAAGGTGATTGAAATTTTTCCATCGCTTTATAGTCTGGTCACGACAAATATAACGCGTGATTAAGGTGAATACTCTCAACTGATAAAAATCCCCACCGATTTTGTAGCCTATTTTGAAACAAAGTTTCCCCTGTCAAGAGAAAATTGACAAGTAACAACACATACCGGTATTAACATTTCATTAGCATTCACTTATACAGAAATGGTATTGCTTTAAAACTGTTACGTTAGAATTTTAATAATTTTAAAATAACCAGATAAATAGAGAGTTATGTATTAATTAAATGTAATAATTAGTCATCTCTGTTTCCCATTCTTTTGTTTCATGAAATAAGTTTCGAAATGCTTCATGGACATAGTAGCCAAGTTTTTTTTTATCAATATTGTTAAAAAGAAATATAACTTTTTCCGATTTGTTCAAATCTACGAATTTGGAGTACTTGGCTTCTACATCTTAAAAAAATTGTTTCTTAAATTGCTATATAAATTGTTGCCTGCGTGCAGACGTCTCCTATTTCCTTTGTTGCACGCGGAAAAGGGACGTCTGCGTAACGCCGTCGCTAATCGTGTTCCAGCGTCCTGCTGGGTTCCCAAGATCTTGGGAACACGCTGTGATAGGCTGACACACAGTGCGCATTGTTTGACTTAACGCTGATTGGTTGTTATCGAATGTGGTCTGATAATGTATGCGGTGATTTAAATGATTTATGTAAGCGGGTTTTCTAACCAAAACAAATCAAAGCATGTGCGATTGTGTGCTGTGTTTCTCGTCGATCGAAAAGCAGAGCGATCGAAATCTTGTGCGGGGAGGCGGAAAATTTAACGTGTACGAGGAATTATTTCCTTACAATTTACTGTGCATGACACATCGCATCATATTTGTAAACAGTGTCTGAGAAAACTACAAAAGCGGCGTGGACTTCGCACCAGGCAGGCATTTCGGAGAAAGCCAGCCAAAGAAACTGAAATCTTTATTTAGCCGTAACAAACAGAGGTCAAGAAAATTTAAACACTTTACAACTGCATCTGAAATAAAATCCTATCGGGAACACCCACAGAAGCATAAACCACAGGAAATGATTACTCAGTATGCATGTAACAAACCTGCTTCATGACCTCTAAGTGGAAGACTTAGCACAGCAAAAATGAGATTTACTCAGTCAAAGGTTAGAATGCTACATGCACTGTGTAGTGCTAGTAATCTTCGCGCGAGAGAAAAACGAAGAAAAACCTCTGTTCAAGCAGACTCTCAAGGTCACGTTTCGCCCGTATCACGAGCTTATGATGTTTTGTTTGGCCTGTCAACTCTTATTTCTAACCGGATATTATTTCACAATTTATGCGAAATAGCATACCCTGCCAGCGGGACGCTGGAACACGATTAGCGACGGCGTTACGCAGACGTCCCTTTTCCGCGTGCAACAAAGGAAATAGGAGACGTCTGCACGCAGGCAATATAAATTGCATTCCAATAGAAAATGAATTTCATTCTCTACTTTATTCGACGTGCAAAACAGGCATGTTCTAAGATTCGAAAAAAAAAATTTCAGGAATTTTAGGATGATATCTCAGTCAGTATTTGACAATAAGATCTCAATTTTTCTAAAACGCCCTGCTTACTGCTCCTTTATTCTCCAGCTTATTCTGTTATGAGCTCCGGGCCCGACCCAACTGGCGGGAAACGAACGAGACACGGAGATCGGAAAGCTTGAATACTTGAGCAAGGACATGTTTGTAAGAGAAGAGGAGGATAGTTTGACGCCATGAAAAAATGCCACTAAATGAAGAGCTTGAATATGTATGTTTAGTAGTAGCTTGTGCTCAGATACTTAAGTGGGAGAATAGAAATTCATTAATACAACGAAACGTTTGTTTGAAACAACTTTTTGACAATTATCAGTTGGCTAGAAATAGAAAGGCGACATTGTTTGTCACTGTCTCCGGGTTATCTATGAACAAAGCCAGCTTTTATTCTAAAAAACTGACTCATTTGCAAAATGCAACGATGATTTTCCTTTGCATGCCTTCTACTTGAACGCCCACCCGATTTGGGCGATTATTTCCAAGATTTTCTGTTTATTTGTTTAAAAAAAAAAATGAAACTTTTAAAATTTTCGTCACAAGCGTTTGTGTGTTTGACGGCACCAGAACAGTTACCTTTTAGCTTTCTGTAGATCAGAGGAGACTATGGGTGCCTATTTGAACATAATAAAGTTTACGTTAGGCTTACCCTTGCGAACTCAATCAAATATTGCAGGAGGACATGTAAAAGGAAACAAATTTTAAGTTTGGCATCTTAGGTCTAAATTAGGGCCTTCCTCTTGAATCCAGTAAACATTTTACAGTCAGGGCTTCCTGAGCTGCACGTTGTACGGTCTGAGGGTACATATAATAATACTGAGATAGTATTATTGCCATGAAACAACACTGAATACCTGACCCCTTGCTCAACATACGCTGTTATTTCATGACTACGAAGATACCTACAAATCTTGTATTGGAATGCCATTAATTGTGACGTTACCAGAAATGAAAATATTCTTCGACGCAAATACTGAACTACCCCCTCCGATTATAACATTCGGGCTTGCATACACCGCCTTCTTAGTTAGCTCTGTTTTCTGAATGTCAGTTTGATCAAAGTCGTCATCTTCATCTTCATCTTCATCTTCACCACTTGCAATCTCCAAATGGGGCTGCATCTTACTTTCCAAGGGACAATCCATGAAATGACCATCCTCATTTGCGACATCTTCTGTATATCCGGGAATGTGTGGGCGTAGCGACATTAATTCTGGCTTGTCCGCTTTCGCAACTACAAGGCGGCTGCCGCATATCACAATTCGTTCAGGTTTCCAGTCTGAGGTGAAGGAAGCTAACTTTGAACCATTGCTTAAGTCCCAAGCATCAATGTTGCGATTGTTAGAACGATAGTTAGAAAATGCCACTCGTCCGTCTTTTGTAATAAACAAGGAATCGACGTCGTCGCAAAAGAAAGTGTACTGAACATGGCCACTGGTAATGTCCCAAACGTTGATACCTCCATCGCCCTCGCCGGTAAGAAGCACACTACGGACCGTTGATATTGCCGTGGCAATGACATGGGTGTTTGCTTCATCAACACTGAGCCTATACATCATTCGCCCATTCGTCAAGTCCCAAAGCTGTGCACTGTATTCCTTGGTCAAGCAAACGAGATAGCGTCCCTCATCCGAAACGCATCCATTCCAGAGCAACAATTGGGTGCCTTTCTCTTCTAAGAACTTCTGCTCTCCCGTCTTCGGGTTCAAGAAAACCAGCGGCACAGTGCTTTCATCATGTTCAACCGTCTGACCCACTTGACTGCAGACAACTGCGTTACCATTCCTGCTGACTAGCATGTCTTCAAATCGAAACTTCTGTCCAATCTTGTATTGGCTGACTAGCTTGCCATCATTTATATTCCATACTTTAAGGTTTCGTCTCCCGCGAGAAAATGTGATGATGTGGCTGTCATCAATGAACCCAAAAGCTTCCGTCCTTTTGGGTGCCTTACCCTGCAAGAGTCTTTCAATTGTCCCGGCGTGAAGGTCAAATACTTGGAAGTGAAGGAAATCTTTGTCGTGGATATAACCAACCGCACGGGTTGTTGCGTGCATTCGAATTGTGCTGAGTGGCAAATCTTTGGTCATCTTGAGTGTCCGCGCTTTTGCACCTTCGAAAGTGTCCCAAATGAGAATTTCGTTGGTGTCATTGACAGTCGCAATGGCAATAACGTATCTGTCAGAACAGTCATCACGTGTGAGATATGTAATTGAATCAACTGAAGACACCGCCTTATGATTCTTAGATCCTGTTTGAACGGCCTTTTTGTTCTCCTTAACAGCTTTTTCTAGGTCATAGATGCGAATTACTTCATCATGAGCAACTGAAATACCATATTTTCCATCTCTGGTGTAGAAATTTTGATGAATTATCAGTGTCCCGAACGATTCGCTTTTCAAGGTTTTATTAACTGTTCCATCCTCAAGGTTTGTAATCAGAATCTCGTAATCATAAATACCCACTGCTTTTGCTCCGTCTTTTGTGATTTGAAGACGAAGAAGGCCAGAGTTAATTCTAAACTGCGGCACCTCTCTGATTAAATCTCCAGAATGAAGATCGTACAAACGAAGATTATTTTTCTCTGAAGAAGTCACGACAACTTGTTCCTTAGAGGTAACTTTGACCTCGGCAATGAAACATTTATCAGCTTCACTGAATACGTTGACTTCTCTAAGCATCTTGCCCGTTCTGCAGTCGAGGACCTTGAAGCTCCCTGACACATGGACACAGAATGCTGCTAAGTATCCTGATGTTCCCAAGGAACCATACTCCTCATCGGTTGATATTTTGCCTATGTCAATTTGGTGCAGAAGACGGCCATCCTTAACTGTCCATATCTTAAGGTTCTTATCTGTTATAGCGACAATCCGCGTTTCATTGTCTGCGAAGGCAACTGGTGGCATCGGAGAGTATTGGCTTTCTTCATCAAGGGCGGCGAATTTCTGCACTATTTGACCATTGGATGCTTTCATTAGAAGTATGTCAGCGGAACCTGCTAAAAGGAGAAGGTCTGGCGTAATTTGGCTTCCCTGGATACTCCACACCAAGCCACCGCCTTGGGACTCTGGTATAGTTACTCTTTGCAGAGTTTTGCCGTTCAACAAGTTGATAATCAACAACTGAAGAGACTCTGAGAACGAGGAGACAATGTACGCCGTTTCTCCATCGCAACTGAAACCACAGCACTGAGTGGTAGGCTCGCCAGGTATCTTTATTGACGAAATCAAGGATCCTCCAGGTGATGTCAAGCATTTATCGTTTGGTATGAGACAGGGCACTGAGGAGGAATAAGCCTGTTGAAGCAGGATGTGGATGCCGCTGAATTTGACTAAATCAAAGCCTACCATCAACCTTCCAAGAAGTTGTGGGGCTAGTTGATTGGCGTCTCCTTTCAAAGCGAAGGATGACAACTGTAGGGTTTTCTCCAATGTGACGAGATCTTCATCTTCTGGATATAACACCAAAGATGCTGTAAAGTCATCAAGTACAGTTTCCAAGGATGTTGCTCGTAGCTTGGCCAAGAGGAATTCAAAATTGCAGAGTGTCTCTTCTTTGAGTCTCTTCAGATTGCCTGCGTGCAACAGATGATATGGAAGCTCACTGAGCTTTCGCAAGTTATAAACTGCCTTGTTTTCTTTCTCGTTGTGAAACATTAAGGGTTGTCTGGCCACTAACCGATCTTTTAGCACTGTTTCTCCGTTCTTGTCAGCAAAAGGTTTTGCTGCACCATCGGACCACATTCCTGTAAAGAAATCAGCAAGCTTGGTATGAACTTCTTTTCTTGCCTTTAAGTATCGGGTGGTTGCTACTTCGATGAACTGCCGATGGTACCAGTAGATCACACGAGCGTCATCTGCTCCCCTTTCAATGAGGTAGTCCCCAAGGTCGGATCGGACACGAATCCAAAGAAGTGGTGGTAGTCTTCGAACTGGGGGTGTCCAGTACTGATATACATCATTAAGGACCTCATCGTCCAGGGAGAGGATATCCTCTAATTCAGGTTCGGTCAGGCCATTTTTGGATGCAGTAACATAAGCCAGCGCTTGGTTGACCAAAATCTTCCCATGCCGACGCTCGACTTGATCCAGAAAATCGTTAATGATGTCTTTTACGCTGGGTGCTAATTTTGTTTCACTTGTTGAGGTATACGACTTCCAGCGACAAGCTTCGTCAAAAGACAGCTTCAAAAACAGAGGAAGTGGGCATTTTTCAAAGGCATCTAAAACCATATGTTTCTGATCAGTTGTTAGTGAGCGCTGCGACGAAGATAACCAGCTCTTTAAAATTGTGTCAGCTTCATTTGTTGGAATCGTTGGCACTTCTAAGAAGGACGAGTCGGGATAGAGTTCCTGTTGTAAAGACAAAGTAAGGGGACATTTTTATTAGCATTTATCTGGTTCTGTTGTGCCCATTTAGCGGCTGTATAACAAGTTTCCTCTACGACCACATCGTTAAGAAAAGAAAGGAGCCTAAATTATGCCAGTCAGGAACAAATAGAAAGAAGTTAAGTTTGCTTGTCCAAATGCTTTTTCCGCATTGAAAAAAAGGTGCTTTTTCTTAACGAATAAAGGACTGGATTGTGTTAGTTCATCTTTCCTATAATATCTAATTAGAGTTATTTATTACCTTCAACAAGGGTAGACACTCGTAGTCGGAGCCGGGTAGAGTCGACAAAACAAAGTAGCAATTGTCAGGTAGTTTCCTAGGCAACCAATCTAAGCGCCTTCCTCCTTCACCAGCAGGGAGTTGGTCTAAAGAATCAAGCATCACTACCACGGGACGAGAATTGCAGGCTTCGTCTAAGCACTTTGGAAAAAACTCATACAGCTCCAGTGGATCCTACAAGGATTTCGATACATTACTTTATATAGCAAAGGAACAAAAGACAAGTTTGATATCGGATGATTGTCTGCCAAACTACAGAAAATTGCTCTAAGAGGCCGAAATCCAAAATAGAGAGGTACTCCGAACAATCCATCTGACATTATGTAAGTCATAGATTCATAAATCAATTATTTTTATGTACCAACTTGCCTCGGGAATTTCTGTGATCTCATTTCCGGTGATCATATACAGTTGCTGGCTAATACTCCTCAACAGCATTCTGATGTTGGATGATTCGGGAGATGTGCCAATGAATCTCAGCACCACAATAGCTGACTCTGGTTCCAGCCATTTCCTGATATCTACAGCTATCTTGGCCATAATGGATGTCTTACCGCAGCCGGATTCTCCATGGAGCACACTCACACGCTTACTGTCATTTTCAAGCAGGGATCTCTTTACTAAAGAAAGAAAACTGTCTCGTCCTTGACAAGCTAAGCCTTTTCTTTGGCAAAATAGTGCATGTTGTAATACTTCTTCAGTTACTGGATTTTTCTCTTCATTGGTTTCTTTCTCTGAAATGGCCTCTTGAATCATACTGCTCAAAACATTGTAGACGTCTGTACAAAGCTTGCCAATATACTTAGCATGCTCATCAGATGTATCTGGACTTATTCCTTCACTTGTCCACTTGACCTTGTATTCGAGCACGTTTTTTTCTGCGAGAGCAGCTGGCAGCTCAATTTCTCTCAAACGTGCTAACAGGCCCCGTGCAGACTCATCGATAACTGAGTGCTCTGCTCCGTAAGTCTTGTCCACGAATTTAGCTGCGTTGCGCTCGTCAGCATTTTGATGAGATCTGTGATCACCCTTTTGAACCAAAAACAGTGCTTCTCCGGAGTCGATACTGTAATGATGCCACGGCGAATTTCGTCTTCTGTCACTAAACGGAACAATCAAAATGATAACGAAAGAATGTGAATGTCGACATATCACTGAATTAAATAGGCAAGACTGAAAAAAGGTTTCATTTTAGAAATCATCCACTCTTATTTTATAGGAGGCAGCGTGGCCAAGTGGTCAGCGCGTCAGACTCGCAATCCCGCGGTCTCGGGTTCGAGTCCCGCTCTGGCCACTTGCTAGATTTGTTCTCTGTCGTCCAGAGTTCAAATCTTCGGCCTCGCTTGTAAATAGCCAACTGGTTGCCTCGTGCCCGTTGGGGCTTTTAATCCTGTTATGTTTCTATTTGGATTATTTGTTTCAGAGTTATTTGAGTGGAATGCCTGTAAACTAGCTGGATAAGCTAATCGTACTTTCCACTATAAACAAGCCTTTAAACCTTTTAAACCTTTCTTTTTCCTTGTTCTCAGTCAGGAAAGATCTGGGCTTTCAAAAGCATGATTAGACTCAAACGATGTCAGCCAATCAACTATATGTCATCCAAGAATTTTAAAATTAGTTCCTAAACTTCCTTTTGTTGTAAGTGTTAGTTTGATCAAAACAGGTGATCCCTCACTAAATGAAACTATCAAAATCATGATAGGCAGCCACACCTGTCATAGTAATAGATTGTTCTTGGCCGAGGTGGATACATTACCTGACATATGATACTTATGTCGCTCTTCTTCGTCTAGCACCTTGTCAGCGGCAATCCTCAAAACAACTTGCATTCTTTCAAACGCAGCCCACCAATCAGAGGACGCCTTCTTACGTAACTCCTTGTTTTCGTAATTGCGATAATCGGGCAGCAATGACGTAATTGGCTGAAGCAAATATTGAGCGGGAACTGCGTTGTCATCTCGCCAGAACCAGTGTTTCAAGAGCTGAAGATCGTCCTCTTTCTCAACTGCCGCAAGGAGCGTCTCGCACTCAGATGACCTAATCTTAGCTGGAAACGGGCGATAGCCGTACTTTTGTCCAAGAAATGTCTGTAATATAAGCAGTATACAACCATTATCTCTAGAGGGTCCACAAAAGCTGATCAAGCCAAGGGAACTTTCGTTCTACGATGAACTTTCAACATTGCTCAAGGCGTACACCCTCATAGCGTGAATCCCTTGCTTAGGCAGACATAAGTGGCTAGCAAGAGAGGATAGCCGTTGGGGACGATTTTCACTTGTTTGCCTGCATTTCGTTCTATAAATGGCGGAGGTCTATTTAAAGGGGAAAAGCTTAGGCTGGTGCTTAGAGGGTCTACCTTTGCCTTTGAGAGCTCAGATACAACTTTTGGGTGAAGCTCTGTAAGTTTTATGATGTGATCAGGCTACCAAGCGAGGCTCGATCCTTTTTAGAAAAGGTACTTTAAAGCTGCTTTTTTTCATCCCCTTCATTTTAAATGGCAGCCCCTTTTCTGTAACTGGGAAAGTACATGCAGGGAGGATGAAAGCAGGAAGCTAGAAATATGAACATTCCGACGGAAGCTTAACAAAAACTGAGTTTTCTACTAACGATGAAGTTTGGTCCTGTTGATAGCTTCTGGCATGCGTGCAGCTCTCTCATGCAGAGATCAGTGGTCATGTGATCATCGGTGGACTCGTCCCGGACCCCCCATCTCATGTCCACCACTTGGAAGTCATAGCCTCTCTCTTGACAGAAGGATTTGAGTCGAGGGTAGGCGCGCACCATAAGGGCATTACGTTCCACAAAGGTATCTACGAATGACAAAAAAAGATCATTAACTAATCCATCACAAAGAGAAAGCTTGATGCACAACATTTTCAAAGCTCCTTACTTTTGCAGGATTGGGGGAAACGATGCACAAGAAAAGGTATTTCCGAGCACGCGCAACATCTTAACTCCTACTTCCTCTTGCATAAATGACCCCTGACACCCCAGATAACTAAGAAAAAGGTCTGCTGTGAAGTTCCACGCCCAATTTCAAATCTCTCCCAGTCATTTACCAACGCTTACCATACAAATTAACAATTGATACTGAAACATCACTGACGATACATCTATGACATGCGAATGTGGCCACCTCTACATTATTCTGTCTAAAAATAACACAGTCTTCGTATACTCTCAATTCGTTTAGGTCATAGGCTTCTTAGTCAACACTATTCGGGTAAAGTTATTATGTGCGTTTTATGGTTATATACATAAACCACTGTTCGCTTTGTCCCTTGGTTGTATTTTTTTGGTTAGCTTTGTAGTTTTCTTATTGTTCTTAAGGGAAATATTTTACATTATGCTTGTTACGTACCGAAGAGACAAATTTATTGGCTGTGTTACCGCCGCCCTCTCTAACAAGCCTTGCTTTCCAATAATCATAAGGTTTCCCCTCTAAAATGGATGAAAGCTTAAGCCCCTCCCGGCGCGGGGGGGGAGGGGGGTCATTCGTGACATTACGTTGCAATAATTCTCTCCCATTACCTGTGAATGTCGAACTTGTAAATATCCTGACAATTCTGACATTGTCTGAGACGTTTATATCCAGATCTTCCAATAAAGCTTCCTTCCAAGCCTTTGCAAAGTCCTCATTTGATGACACCCCATCCAACGCCGATCTTGTTTTACTCCTCTCAGATGCACTTGCCTCTGTCGAGACGCTATCGCTTGATTTGGAGCTGACAGAAAGCTCTCTCGCTGAGTCATGCGCAGACTGGTTTTTATCATCATTGCTTTCATCGTGAGACTTTTCCGAATCACTTTCATCTCTCGCTTCAGATTCTTCTTCGGTATCGGACTCATTCATGTTGTCATGGGAAATGCATACAGTTAGTCCCTGATTGGTGGCTTGCTTAGCCATGTGGGGTGTGTCCTCCCCATCAGATGATTTGCCTGGAGTGGCAGCTGGTTCCTGGTTAGTGGCTTGGTTACCCATAAAGGGTGTGCCTTCCTCCTCAGCTGACCTGTCTGGAATGACAGCTACTGACTGGCTCTTTATAACAGCGTTTCTTTTCTTTCTTGAAATAATGGTTCCCATGGCCGCTTCTTTTTTTGAAACCTGTAGGTAAGAAACAAGAAAAATCGATCAGGAAAAATTGTTGACTTATCAAATGGTCTTAGGTAGGATTCGATTCTATTAAAAACTCCATTGCGAGACCGTACAATGTTACTGCTCTTTGTCCTCATTGCTTAAACTACTCAATCCTCATTACTTTGCCTCTATTGCTTAATTCTACTTATATTATAAACATAGGCTTTAGCTGGGATGTAAGTAAGAGTTAAACGAAAATCTTAGGAATCTTGGTCCTCAAAATAGGTGTTCATCATTGACTATTTAGATTCACGTACACATCAAATGAGTCCTGATTAAATTGGTTAACTAATAGTTTTATCTCTTGATCATTTCATCTGCAAAACTACCGAACAATCTAATGATTAAAGCAAAAAGAACTATCTCCTGACCTGATAATTACCTGGACTTTCGAGAAACAGGTTCTTGACCAGCCCTGGCTTATCCAAACTGACTTTACTCTGACTCTGACTTTCAACATTTGCTTGTAAGGAAGTACCCCCCAGGGGTGGTGGGGGCTTGAAATCACTTGAACTGACTAATTGCATGGCCGTAGGAGTAGGGTGACCGGGTTGACCCGTTTCACCCCCTTTCTCCTGGGAGACTTCATTTTGCGGGGAAGGATACCCACAGACTCCCTGGGCCACCCACCCATTACAGTTGACAAGGCCACGAACATTGCTACCGTGCCGTTGTGATCTCCCGCTCACAAATTCGTTTCTACGGGCCCAGGCTGAAATGAACTTGTTTCATTTCATGGCAGGCCCATATAATCAAACGATTTTATATTTTAAATTAATTTAAATTAATTTAAAATATTCTTGTGTTTAAAATTACTATTGTAGGTTTTAACATGTGTTCAAGTGACAAAATGGTTTCAATCATTCACTGACAACATACAAAATAGGAAAACACAGGAGGTGTAAAAATGCCATTATCGTTTACCAAATATCAATTTGTTTTAACAGCTTTTTAACATTCCTTATTTTGCCAGTGACAGGTTTCCAATGAAATAATTCTTTTTTTCAATTGTTATCTATAGTAAAAATTCAAAGAACTCAGCTTTTCAAACTTTTGATCGGACGTACACGTGATCAAAGAAATCAGTGATGCTAGGCAGAGAAAAGTGAACTTATTTTTTCTGAATACGTTTTTTCCGGTTTGATCAACAGATACGTGGTGGTTTTATCGGATGAATCGGTGGGTTAATGGCATCACACGTTTACCCACTATTAAGAAGTAAATGGCTACTTTCGAAAGCAAAAGTAAAGATGGTTTCTAAATTTTCAAATTTCATTCAGTAAAATCTAGTCGCACGATCGTGCGTTGCTGGTTTATTAAGCGATAACTGATAAAAATATTCCCGAACCCATCCTCTCTGGCTACTGAGTTGGAACATATATCTGAGCTAAAATACAACCGCTCCTGTGTAATGACAAGTCAGTTAGCAGTAAGTTAGGAGCCGCGATCGCGCCGTTTTCGGATGAAACTAGTACTAGTACACTAAAATTATTTACTTAATGGGTTATCATTCGAATATACCAGTTTCTAAAGCAGGAGGGAACAGAATTCAGGAGTAAATAATGATATTAGAAAATGTTGTATCGGCTCCTGTCGCCGCTATTTCATTTTGTCTCGGTTATATTGGCTTAAATACATTGGCTTCCCCACGCGATGAGGCTCTAACTTTTCACTCTAGTGAAAATCTAATTCACATTTCTTGCCTGAAGATTTATACGGCCACTTTTAATTGCGTTCTCGATGGAACACTAATTTAAAATTGTAACTAATCCATACATTTAAATTAAAAATGTCGAGCAACATTTTTCTTTGCCTCTACTTACTGAAGGCGCCCTAACTGAGTTTTGATATTATTATCATCCCAATAACTTTTTAAACAAAATATATTTAGCTGTCGGATATTCAGTGTGGTTAGTTTAAGAGAGGTTAACTTACCAGCCGGGTGTAATAGCTTTTACCGGGAGCTTTTACCGATTGGAGTGCAGCTAGGCAGTGATGAAGAATCGCTTTAGCATCTTAAGCATCTTTTTTATCTTATTATCTCCGACAAGAAAACTTGTACTAATACAATCTCAGAGAAAACCACAAAATGAAAGGCGAAGGATATTAGCATCGGCGAAGATAGCATTTGAATTGTAACTGTATAGACACTGTATACAGACTTTATTACGTTTCTCGTATCCATGGCAAAAAGCGGGCAACATTGAAATACTATGCCAGAGTAGTCTTTAACAAACCACTTTGAGTTGATTTCCATAAGGTGAAATTAACCCCCGGGGCTATTATACAAAACATATATTGACGGATACAAGAAAGCAGTGATGAGAAAGAAAAGGAGGGCGTCACAAACTTCAACACTGACGGCACGCAATGAGTGCCTTGACGTTGCTAACGTGCAACAATTCAGACAATTCTTGTTCAAATTTCTGAGCTGAAATCTAATCGACCACTTAAAACTTACTATGTTTGCCCCTGAGCATAAGGTTAAACAAGAGATCAAAATTGAGTTTTATTCTAACAAATTTAGAACTGATAACGGCTTACTTCGCTGTAAGCACGCGAAGCATGACCTGTCCAAGATCGTCGAGTCACTGTGGCCAAACACAATTTTTTTTTTAATTATCCTCTGACTTGCAAGTTACATTTCATTCCACTTCAAAGCCCTTTCCTGTTTCTTATATCAGTATAAATCTCTTATAAAACGAAGTTTCTCGTCACCGCAGAATTGCTATTTTTAGCCGCATAATCAAAATATTGAGGCCCCTCCAGTCGGAGAGACAAGATTATTGAGCTGAAAGTGGGGGCTCCGGAAGATGGCAGGAAAATGTCCCCTTAGTCTACTAATCTTGCCCTCGTGTCCCGGGAGGTTTGTTGGAGGGGTGGGGGGAGATACTAAACAAAGTTTATACGGAGAGGCTCATCCCTTTTAGCTGCTGTTTTTAAGATATCAATAAACCACGAAAACACAACGTTTTATTGACTTTTTCGCAGCCATAAATGGATTGCATCTGTGCGCCCCGTTTAAGCCTTTTTACAGGCCGAAATATATGATAAATGTCCGTACGTCCCTTTCAGGAAGAAGGTACCCCTTTCGGTCCGAGGCCCCCTCCCCATAGGAGTCACCCCCAAGCTTCGTGTAGGGCACTCTCCGAAAGGATGCGAAAAACGCCCATCGCATTCTCCCGCAACCAACACTTTGATGCTGTTTCTTCTGTCGAATTGCGCCTGATCGTTCTGTTATAGTCACTGGGCCCAATTTCTTCCCTTCCGCTTTTAAACGTCCCTGTAGCATCAATAAAGCATATCTTACTCAACCTCGCTAATGAGGACGCTTCATTACGAACTTTGTGCTCTAATAGACATTTCCTTTTTTGAAAGTAAAAAACCTTCAGTTGATACTGATGTCCCGGCATGTTCCCAGCATCAAACGAGTTATGTAGAGAACGCACGGCACGGTTTTGACAGATGAGCAATTTGTGAGTCTTTTGCGGATTTAGTCCGCGGAATGACGGCTTTGTTAAGGTTGGAGATGTTTTGTTTGACGAAGTTTATGTCCCCTTTTATTTCTGTCGATTTTTTGTTCTAATTAAAGGTAAGTTTTTTTCTGTCTTTAACAACATGACATGACAATCGACACCCCGTTAATACGGAAACTTTATATGGCCCCTCCAGTGCCCGTATTAACGGGGCTTTACTGTGTCTGCACTATTTGATTGCTTTCACATTCTTCTTTGGGGCGGAGAATTGGTCGGGGGAGGGGAAGGGAGTGAAGATCTGAGAATATTGTTTGACCGAAATTTGCTTTCTTGGTTGGCAAGACTGTACCTTATGTTTTAGGCGCGATTCCAACCTCATTCCCAGGGTTCTCCTTTAAATCTTAAATCTTAGCAATATTTTGCAGGATTTGCAAACTGCAGGCAAATGCATATGAACAAGCGCCAAAACCCACAAGCTTGGTAACCACGCTTTGCAACATTCTCCCAACTTCCCTAACTTTTGTTTACAACGGACAGCGAACGTTCTCGTCGGACGGTTCTGTATTTTGTCTCCTTGAAAACCAGCTGTTTATCGAGATAACTTCTTTAAGGTAAACGGTTTTTAACTCACTTTAGTATTAAGTGCTTTATTATTAGTGTACAGTGCGTGAAAGATGTATCGATACGTGAAAGCTCGCCATGGCAATTTCATGCATTGGAACGTTGTGTGCATGCTAATTTTGGGCTTGAGTGATTTGGAATCAATCTTTTTTTTCGGTAATCTGCTATGCTATAAAAACGTAGCTTGATTGAATGTTTACCTTAGTGTAAATTGTTTTCAGATGAATTATCGGAAGGCAAGGAAATTGGAACTCTCTAACATCTTTCCATTTATCTGCTTGTACGTTAAAGAACCGTAAGAGCACTTGAATGTGTTTGTCACATGAAGAGAACTTTGAAAGCTACTGGCCCTTACGCTTGTGGTCGCGTCTGTTACTGTAGTGTCGTAAAGTTCGAAATGAAAGGACTGGAGTTGTTGTTTTAATTTTAAAATTAAGATCTAGAAGGATGGTTTACCAAAGTTATGTCGTGACCAAACTGTTTGTAAGATTAGCTATCTTTTTGACGCATTAAGCTTAAAATTTCTTTTACCTGTGCGCGATATTAAACGGGCGGAGAGAATGTATTTTGAGGTAACGCCCTTTAACTGCATCAAAACCTCAAAGGTTTGGTTTACTTGTTCTTATGCTAAGAATTTATTCATACCGTTCGATCTCTCAGTTACACCTTGCAAGAAGAGTGTATGCGGTCAATCAAACCTCTTCCGGATAATCTTAAGATTTTAGTATCATGTCTCAATATATATATGCCACTAATTTTGTATAATTGCATTAGATATGTCACAATTTGTTATCAAGTGTAGCTTCAGTTGTCTGCTTTTCAGATTAACTAACAAAGCTGGGATTCTATTACGACCTCAAGCCACAAGTTAAAGCATTTTAAAATTCTTTAGTTTTTTAAATGTACATTGTAGCTGGATACCTCAGCATTCTCCTGGTGTTTTATTTCAGTTTTATGAATTTTGGATATGAATGTTATCTGCCAAAAAATCAGTAGGGATCTTGTTAACCAAGGGTGATTGTTTTCATATCCTCTGGTATTTTCTGTCAAATTAGTTGACATGTATGAAATCAACGCAGAGCACCAGAATGCAATCTTTACTGTTATGCTACCCTTTGAATCTACTAATAGGTAGATTTCATGATTTGATTGACCTGTGTTCACGCAAACTATTTTTTTTGGCTGGGATCTTTGCTTTTAACCCATTTTCCATTTAATGCTCTACTGATTTCCATTGTAAAAAAGGTACATTGATCATTAATGAATTGTGCTGACAGAAACTAATTAATTATATTGAGCAAGGACTACATTTACATACACTGTACCCTAACTATTTATAGCTGAGTCGCAAGATTTCTCACTTTTGCAGGTAAACTTTGGACAGTACATGTGTATACTTATGAAGATGCTGTATCCAATTCGTGCTCAAGTCTTTTGGTGTTTTGAGTAAATGTCAGTGCTGTTAATTTAGTTCGTGAAAAACCTTCATTCAAAATATCTTGTCCTTTCCAAATTAACTCAGTGTACATGTACATCTAGGTGACAAAAATCCAAAAGGGAAAATGATCTTTAGCAGTTACTTAGTCACTACTGCCATAGTTCTCTTTGAGACTCGTCAGAAACAGATTTTAAAAAAATTATCATTATTAATATTATCATCTACAGATGTTTATACAAAAATGTTAGAGGGACAATATGGAATAATCTTGCCATGGCATGGTCTAGGAGTACATAAAAGGGTTAATATTCATTCTTAGCATTCTGCTTATTTCTAGATCCCAAGACCCAAGTGAGAAGTGGGCAAAATGCCAGCACAGTCAACAGAGGAAGTTGACTGGAATAACCAGGATCCTGCAACTGTTATATACAAGATTGGAATTTATGGATGGAGAAAGCGGTGCATTTACTTCCTCATACTCCTGATTATGGTCATCACCATCATCAATCTTTCTCTCGTCATTTGGGTCATGAGAGTTATGGACTTCAACCTGGTAAATTAAATTCAGCTGTCTACAGTAGAACACTGTAAATTTTAACTGAACAAATCAAACTTATATTAATTTGCCCTGACTCAATTGTCAGTTAATTATAAAGTGGAAACTTGGACTTCCCTAGAATTGTTTTTCTTTTCCATTGAAAGGTTTTGATCAGTTTATAGGTATGGTTCTAGATTTTACAGTCAACTATTGTCATTGCAGACACCTAAGGACTTCAAGCTCCTGGGGGGCATATAGATCGTTTTCACTGTCATGCAACAAAAAAATAAATTGGAAACCGTCCAGCAGAAGAAGACAAGAAAAATGTTATAAAAGACTAATTTATAAACAATTTGTCTAAGTCTGAGGTCTTTGAGGTCCACAGTTTCTGAGTTATTTGCGGAAACATTTTACTCAACTTTTTAGAGCTTTGTAAGGAGACACCATATTGGTGTGTTGTTTAGGTGCACCAATATGGCTGCTGGAAATCAATAAAAACATTTGGTGTTCATTTTTTCTAAAAAAGCTCTTTCTTTTCACTCGAGAACTAGCATACGTGTGCATAAACATACCTTCTAATACTTGAAGAAATGGTTATACAGTCAACTCTCTGTAAGACGGCCACCTTTGGGGCCAGCACTAAGTGTCCATCTTAGAGAGATGTCCAACTTATAGACAGTCAAATAAAGGGAGTAAAGAAAGGCAGGGACCAACTCTAGGTGTCCATTTTATGGAGGTGTCCGTGAAATGATTTTACGAGACAGCATTCCTAGTTTGGTGTCATGCACTGTGAAAACTTAGAAGTTTCTGTATTTTCGAAATGAAACGTGCTACGGGAATGGAAACTTGTGCAAAGATTTATTTTTTGTTTATGTCTTCAACCCAGTGTAAATAAGAATTCATAAAACCTCGCTATTTTGACTTAACAATTTGATGACATCACTGTGAAAACCATCTATAGATACATGTATCAGAGAGTCTGGGTCTAGAATAGGGTATCATTTTAGGCCTTTTTTATGGAGGAAAGTTGTCCCAAGTAGAAGGGTCACCCTCTCAGCAGGGCTTCTGATATTTGGCACGGTCAAGGAGCCACGAAATTCAGGTAAATCCTCAAAATACAGCAAAAGTCTCTAGCAATCTCATCAAATACATGTCTGTTCAACATCTCAGCTACTGGGGTTGTTTACTTGCCGTAAACGTGCAAATTTATCTTGAAACCTCATCACTAAAATGAGCAAACAATGTTCAAAAACTACCAGGCGTAGATTATGTTGCAGAAAATTGGGCACTAGCCATGATGTCGAAAGAACAAACTATGACCTCTGTAAAGAAAACGATAAAAACACTGGTCTGATCAGCGCAAAAACGATCGATTCCTAGAGAAATCTGCTCTGAAAATTCCCATAAAATTGGCCTTTTTTTATAGATTGTTTTTCAGTGAAGTTTGTCGCATAAATTCACGCAAAATTCCCCTGAAATCGGGAGGTGTTTTTACAAATTTGTCCCTGAAAATCCTGCAAAATTTGACTTTTTTTTCCGTGACCTACATGTATCAGAAGCCCTGTCTCAGCTGAATCCTTCAATTTTAACAGGCCAAACACTATTAGCGCTTGCGCTTTGTCTGATTGCCTAAAACAGCATTCTAAAACTGTACAGTACATGTAATTGTGCATGCTCTGATTGTCTCACCTTGGTTGAGTTGACCCAGCTCTGTAAGCCTACACTGTAAGTGTTTATTTGACTTCAAGTTACATTTTTTTAACCTAGGTGGATTGTCAGTTTCCTAGCCCTGTTATTCATGAATTAGACAAAGGAATAAACAAAGGAATTGAGAATCAACTGGATAAATCAAAATTAACCTAAAAACCAATTTAATTTTTTGTGTAACATTTATATTAAGAAAAGTTGGCCCAGCTGGGAGGTTGACCCTACAATCACTAAAAGGTGACCTGGCTTTACAGTAAGCAGGGTCACTTCTAGCCAAACCAACTTTGTGTTTCTCATGAACGGTTTGCCTTGAAGGTAAAAATGGAAGTGTAATAAAAGTTTGGTCCCCCGGGGTAGCTTGGGTAGGAAGGTGACCCTTCTTCCCAGACAAGTTTTCTCTATACAAATGGGGCCTAAATCTACAAAATTAATGTAAATCTAGGAATAGCGTTGACATGTTATGGTCAACCCCCTTTTTCCTTTGCCCTCAATGATGGCCTCGAGCTTGGACAATTCCACCCAAGAAAACATTTCAAAACGACATTGGAAGAGAGAAAGACATTTATCAAAGCAGTGTGACCCAAGTTGAGTGTCAGAGATTGTAGGCTTCCTACATGTAGGTAAATGAGGAATTGATACTTATAAAATAAAGGATAGAGTATGGAAGGATAGAGTAGCAATAGTCAGCTGAACCAGGATAGACTGGTATCAAGTCTAAGGGTGGTAGGGTCCCCCCCCCATCCCCTCTAGTTACTGTCCCTAATAGAAGGTGTCCATAATTAGTGTGGGAGTGTTTTTTATTCATAGGTCTGTAATTTAACTAGTATTCAGCTGCTGTCCATAGTACAGACTTATCACACTGTCTGTTGTAGTGAGGTGTCTTTGTACTCTTCGGATTCTCCTTTACTCGCATTATATATGTAGATTATGGTGCAAACGTACATGTAATGTGCAGTGTTCGTTTCCCGCCTTGCATTTTTTGTGGGGGTGTTGTAAGTTTAAATGTTCGTGCATTGTTAAATATGATATAAGAGTTTTTAAATAATAATGAAATTATCAATCATTTTTAGGATGGTATGGGCAAGCTAAGAATAACTGATCAAGGCTTAAAACTTTACCATGGTGAAGCAGAGTTTGTGAATGAATTACGAGCAAAGTTGATACGGCCCAGTCAGGTTTGATAATTATTCTCTTCTTTGATCTAGTATAAGCATGAAATAAAAATAACATAACATTTTCCATCAGCTTTCTGTACATTCCAGTTTATTTTCAGAATAGAGTTTTCTGTTGTCACATTTTGAATAAAATCTGTTTAAGTGGTACTTGTACATATGTAGCTATAACAACCGCTTCTCAATCAGTTATTTGATTGGTTTGGTTGTTTACATTGTAATAATAATGCCAGCACAAATGAATAGATACAATGTATTTATTGTGATTATTTTTTGTAAAGAATGCATTGAGTTGATAAATAAAGAAATAAAATAATTTGGGAAAAGCTGAGTACAGGTGCATGTAGTCAAACTTACAAAGCTATGAAAGACTACATGTAACAACAAAGAACATGCTCCCAAAAAAACAATTCCTTGCTTTGCTAGTTTCCTCGTGCAGCAAGGTTAATAAATCTGTTGGAATTTGCATTGCACATGGCTAAATTAATTATATAGATATTTTTTTTATATTTTTACCAACTCCATGAAGTTAATGATATTTCAATTTACTTTTTGCTTTCAGAATTCTGAGCTAACACTTCAGTCAACAGCAAATGTGACAGTAAATGCTCGCTCCGAGTATGGGAACATCACTGGACAACTTTTTATAGGAAATGATGAAGTCGTTGCCCGAAATCAGAAACTCTACATTAAAACAGATCAAGGAAAAGATATCTTATATGCTGACAAAGATAAAATCCTCTTTGCTTCTGATAAACTTGAATTTTCAAGTAAGTACATGTATTTTTATTTATTCCATTAAGGCATCGCAGTTATATAGATTATGCAACTTTTGCTGTTACGAAAAGAAGGCCTGAAAAAATTTCAGGCTTGTACGAGTACAGCACGGGTATCACTGAGTTCAAAGGTTCGAATCCCATACAAGCCTGAATTTTTTTCACAGCTGCAAAAGTTGCTTATATAACTGTGATGACATATATTATAATTTTCATATATTCATAACTTCATCATCATCCTTTCCCGGGTTACTTTATATATAATGAAACCAATTCAACAGCCTGCTGCCAGTTGGCTTGTTAGCTTATGTGTAACTGTTATCGCAGAGGTCAAGGGTTCGAATCCCATACAAGCCTGAAGTTTTCCAGGCTTTCTTTTTGCAACTGCAAAAGTTGCTTTTATAACTGCGATGATCTTCCTTGTTCATAATTCTTCACTCCGCAGTTCACATGTTACTGTTATTTCCTTGTTTCAGTCTTTTTTAATTTTTTAGTTTATTTTTACTTTAAAATGCAAAATAGCCCTAGATAGTAGTATACATTGGTAAGGGTAAAAAATCCTCTGTTGCACTGATCCAAGTTCATCTCATTTGCGCTTGTGATTGGTTGTTTCCAATGTGTTTGATCTTCCATCCACCACCTCTTCTATCTATTAACCTTCTCTCCCACATCCTTGTCCTTGTAGATATTGAAGTTGCACGGTTTTCATCATGATTAGCAATTCTAGTAGCAGGCGACAGGTGTAACATTGCAGGGGAATATTTTAAAAGAGGCTCCACATCTGAGTAAAAAATAGTCATAGGCTTTTGACTGTTAGGCAGAGAATTCTGCAGAATAATTGGAGAATTATCCAATTTCCAATGCCTGATGAACAGCTTGACTTGTTTACTCATTTAGTGAGTGTGTTTTTTCATCTTGTAGGTCCTAATGGAGCACATTTTAGTGGGTCTGTTCAAACCGAATACTTGAGAGCCCCTCCAAGGAAGGACTTGAGGTTGGCATCTCTGACTCGTTCTCTGTACATAGATGCCCCTGAGGGCATGACATTCAGATCTGCCGGTGGTGATGTTGGCATTACAAGTTTTAAAGATGTGACAATAAGGTCCATTGATGGAATGGTAAGATACAAGCTTAAACCATAGTAATAATAATTGCTTACCGAAAAGGTTTTTTACCTGCTTTGGCAAAGACATTATCTTAGAACATAAAATTCAAAAACTCAGAGCAAAATTACAAACGAACGAAACAAATATTTTGCCAACCACAGTCTGATCAAAGCTGCATAAAAGTATTGATAATTAATAATTATTAATAGTTATTATTAATAATAATTATTAATTGATTACGATTGGTTACTAATTGTAATTTTTGTATGCTTTTATTTCTAATGTATTATTTATACCTACAGATAAAGCTGGATGGGAAGAAAATTTCATTCAAAAATCTAAGAAAAGTTAACGGTGGCAGTAGTCCAGACCCAAATGCTCGTGAAGTTTGCATTTGTCCCAGTGGGGAATTGGTCTTGGCGGCAGTTAGTAGCAACTGTAATATCAGCTGTTAAAGTAATTAATGCAGTGTTCTGGTTCAACATGTCTTGCCATAATTGAGCATTGTGTGCCTTGCCAATTTATTGAGATCAGTTCGGTATTATTTAAACCTTAGTAGCAATCAGCTTTCAGGCTTTCTTATGCTACATGTTTGATCATTTGCTCAATCAGTGAGATTGGTCATTGGAATTTAGGAGTTTGCCATCAAAATATAAATATTACTTAACGTATATTGGCAAGTGTATAATAAATCTGTGGGTCCAGAATGGAGAATCTCTGTTTTGAAGTTAGGGTTCATAGAGTAATATTTGTAAGGACCAAAGTTGGAGCAAGAAAAAAAGAATAATAATGTTTTTTAGTTGTGAGAAGTAACTGAATTTATAAGTCAGTGCTTCAATGCGTACCACATCATTTTCAAGGATTAATATTAAACTCTGGGGCAGATCTAGAATTTGTTGTAAGAGAGTTGGTAGGAGTGGCCGCTGAAATAGGAGTATCTAGAAGGGTCTGGACTCCAGCTCCCTTGCAAAGCTTCACTCCTCAGAAACATGGTTTCCAACATTCTGAAGGGCAAATTGAAGAGTGTTAATTGCTTAAACTCTTGTTTTATGTTGTAGCTTTTACTAAGCTGTTTTTTTCAGCCCAAATCATAGAAGTTAATTAGCTGTTTTAGTTAAGGATGTTCGACCAAACCATCCCTAGACCAGACCCAGAGCTCCAGACCAAAGTCAACCTCATTCCCAGGGTCCTCCGTGGCGAGATAGAGAGAGAGGGGGGGGGGGGAGGGGGGGCAAGTGGGAAAGGACCCATGGAAGGAGGTTGGGCCAGATTCAACTGATGCTGTTAACAGATTTGACCTTTTGTTTTTGTCTTGGTAGTGATGTTAGGCATTAAATTCAATTGTGTATAATGTTCAAACTACGAAAATTACAATTTCTTAAGTAGTGCAACCTCCTGGAATGTTTTCTGTTGTTGCCATTACAGCACTTATTATGTGTAAGTATTAAAATTTGGTGTATTATTCACTTTGTTTAAGTGAAGGGAGTACAATTATGCATTATTTATATATTACAGCAATGTAGGACATAATGTTCTCGGTTAAAATTTGTTTCTGAGAGTAAAAGAAGGAACTGTCTCTTTGCCTTAAGGGAAAATGTTATAGAGGAGATTTTGAAGTCTTAGGGTTGGTTAGTTAAACAAAGTCTAATTTAGGTCGCGGTGTAAGAAATCATTAGACCGCCAGATCTCTGTCTTAGTGGGTTAATTTAAGAAAAGAAGTGCTTTTCTAGGCTACGTATATGCTTTATTGAAATTTTTCACGATAAATGGTGTCTAGATAAAAGTGTTGGGCAGCCTGAAAATGACTTTGAATGCAGTTTTGTTAAACACGGGCTAAACTCCGTTTAAATAGTTGTCCCTTACCGTTTTCACTGCTGCCCAGTGCAAGATTCGTCACAATAGGTAATAGAATATTAGCCTAAGATCTGTATGGAAACTGCAAAAGGCTCTTCGAGTTATATATTTCATTTGGTGAATAAATCTAAGGAAAAGTTGGACTGTAAATGAGGAAAATTTTGTAACCAATTTACAGATACTTTCTTAACGGTTAATGAAAGGTTTTCTTATGATTTATAATCAATTTTTCAAGTGATCTCATGTATTAACTGGCAGGTTGCTGACAAACATATTCATAACTTGTAGTTTTCCTAGGAGAATAAAATCACAACCAAAAATATCCTAGCTTAAATCCGTCCTTAAAATTTATTATTTAGGGTGCTCCAGGATTTTATCTACATTTTTATACTGCACTATTTTTTAAGCGTGGCTATTACTGATCTCTACTATGTGTTCGACTAGTTAAAGCAGCAAAAAAAGACAAATTCTTTTTTCCTGTTCTGCAATTTCTATGTCGTTCTGTCCCTGCTAGGTTATCTTTCGTCTCTGGGAAACTGCCCACCAACCCCTCCCCTAGCATTTAGCGCTAAGTGTTAATGTTGGCTTAGGGGAGGGGTACTTGGGCAGTTTTCCAGAAACGTATCATGATCCAGTATGTCTAGGATAGCTAGTCATTTTTCTTTGGATAAGGCACCATCAAAAGTATCACTGATGTAACTTAGTTTGTAGCTTCTTATAAAAGACTAATAAACTAGTATATATTTTTGCTGACTTTAGAGGTCTTTATAATGAATCCTGAAAACTAAAAAGAATCTCTATTTTGTCCATCTTAGAACTCTTTGACCTAGAATCTTGGCCAGAATGAAGTGGAACGGCAAACCCTCCATCCCCACGAGATGAAGAAGTCGAGCTGTTTTCCCAAACGTTTTTTTTTTTTATGGGGAGGGAAGATATTTTCCGTCTATTTTGTCCAAGACTGTAGTAGCTCATGAAACCTTACCTCATTTCAGACATGATCTGTCCTCCCAATTTCGAACTGAGTCGAATTGCGCTGTGTTAAAAAAAAAAAAATTCGCCTAACTTCTAATAGTGAGCGTGAGCGTGATTTATTTTTCCTAGGTATTTCTGCAGCCGTGGTGCTAAATTTCACCTTGTTTAGCCCATTATACTACTACGTGAGAAATTTCTGCAATTTGATTGGCTTAGAGCAGTGGTATTTCAGCTTAATTTGAAATACCTACATGTGAAAATTACAAACCTTCTAAGGGTAGTAGTATAAACAATTAATAGCATGATTTGACGTGATATTTGGCATAAATACCACTCGTGATATTTCAAAATTGTCTCAAATTTCACTCGCCTAAAGGCTCGTGAAATTACGTATAACAATTTTGAAATATCACTCGTGGTATTTATGTCAAATATCACTACAGATCATGCTATTACCTATACAAATCCTCATCATTGATCTTTCCTACACACATTTCCTTGCCCCTCCCTACTGAACACCTCGAGCTGATCACTTACGTTACAGGAACAGCTGCCCCCTCCTCTTAATTATTAGGCTGATTTAGCAACAGAACGGGAACGTCAGTTGACGACGGCGCGCGCAAATCAAACAACTGGCTTGACCAGTGGCAGAGAAGGCAGAGCGGCAAACTGAGCACCGGAAGTCTTGTTTAGTCCTTTCCGCGCGCTTTCCCGTCAAGTGACGAAAGTGACGTTCCCGTCCTGTTGCCAAATCAGCCTATTTTTTTTCCTGCGGGGAGGGGAGGCTGCGAGGCACGAGCAAAGAGGCAGGTACAAAAGTCGGACCGGATCAACTCGGTCCGCCAGTCCGGGTCGGATCAACTCGGATCGAATAAAAAAATAAAATAAAATTGGACTCGGATCAACTCGGAGCAATCAAAAAAATTAAATTAAATCAGCAAAACTGAAAGTTTAACCCATTTGGAGGGTAAAAAAGGCCAGATCATCCTTTTTTCTCCGTGGCTTTCAGGCGCCATTTTGTTTTACTAGTGCCAGTTCCTCTCGGATCATGTTATAAACTCGTGGTTGTGGTTCGACAGTAAAGAAATGATAGTTTCAGTCGGCTAGAATGTATAAATTTGCTTATTTATTAGACTACTGAATTATTTATGCGAAAAGCATCAAAAGCCTGGTCTGTTGATCGCATTTAGATAGTTACCGAAGAGTGTTTGTTCCTGTTTGTTTTTTTTTTTTCTGCAGGACTTCTGAAACTTAATTTTAATGATACACTAGTGAGCAGCACACATACATTTCCAGTGAACATTTTCAGCTTGGAAGGAGGAGAAACCATGCTCGCCCAGGACAAAGGAAATTTCCATGCCCTAAACAAGAATCGAACTCGCGAACCTCCGGTTCAGTGGTTGGAACGTCCGATAAACAAGTAGTATTCGGAGGGTCGTGAGTTCAATTCTCGCCTTGGCTACGAAAATTTTCGTTGTCCTGGGCGACATAGGCGTACGGGCCGGGGGGGCGAGGGGGGCTGCAGCCCCCCCAAATTTTGGGCAACTCAGATTTTTTGGGCAGCAAGAGAAAATTTGGACAAAGCCAGGTTTTAAAGACGTTTCCATGTTTTTTTAATTATTATTTTGAAGAGATAAATATTTTATATTTTAATCTGACAAAAATCCTGACGTCGGCGTAATAATCCAGTTATATTCTCTCGAGACATTGGTTGGCTAGCACGTGATGAGTTTCTGGTTATTAGGAAAGGGTATCATACGTTGATTTACATATTTATAGTTTTTTACTTTTGAGCATTGTACTGCACTGCACTAACTGGAATGGGCTCTTTCCAGTCGTGAATTGATCAGAATAAACTCCCGCATATCTTTCTAGAATCATCTCCCGCTCGTAGAATAGTATATGGCAGATAGCATCAGCAATGGGTCTGAAAATGAAGAAGTGGCTGACTAGTTCTCAGTTCGATAACGGCCAAACATCAAGATTTTCCTTTCTTACCCTATTTCTAACGATAAAAACTTCATTCCAAAATATCTCAATAACACTCTCACAGTTTCCGTTTTAACTTCACGAACGTCGAGGCGACTATTTGAGGAAAAAGCTTCCGTGAACGATTTTGTAAGAACAGTTGCCTGTGCCGAGAAATATTACTGCAAGTAATATAGGCAATGGCCGCCTCATTTCGTTGCTATGACAACTCCGATGTCATTGCATTCCTGATCATGACAAATTTTCATCTTTATCTAATAAAACTGTGGTGGCAATTTTTCCAAATGTTTGTCTGTGGCGACGTAGTTATGCTCAGAATTGGGAGGTATTGACCCTGAAAAACTGTTACAGTATCGAGCCACCTTCATATCCCAGTGCGGCCTATGTTGTTGCATCGTATGACCGTCGTTTCTTTTCGACTGTACGTTTCGTAAAAATTCGGGCAACTTGCGAGAATTTTTTGGGCAAATGGTTTACCGCCCCCCCTGGCAAAAAATTTCCCGTACGCCTATGCCGGGCGAGCATGGTTTCTCCTCCTTCCAAGCTGAAAATGTTCACTGGAAGTGTATGTGTGCTGCTCACTAGTGTATCATTAAAGTTAATAAAAATAAAAATAAAATTAATTTACGCAACCACGAGTTCGTGAGAAAAAAACAAAATGGCGGGTGAAAGTAAGTGATACCGACTGATTTTATTTTTCTTTTTATAATCCGAGTTGTTTTTTTTATGATTCGAGTTGATCCGAGTCCAATTTTTTTTTTATTTTTAGTTTTTCATTCGATCCGAGTTGGTCCGAGTCGATCCGAGTTGATCCGACCCGGACTGGCGATCCGAGTTGATCCGGTCCGACTTTTGTACCTGCCAGCTGCCTGTTCTTTAATGGACTGGGTACCAATCAGCGAAAGTTCCAACATGGCGACTCGCGGTTGGTTGTTGTTCCTTGTTCTGACGGTCAGCTTTTATGTCTGCCATGGAAAGAAAAAAGTTACAAAAGAGGTAAAAAACAAACAAACTTATATTAAGTATCTAGTCAGGAGCTTAAATCTTTTCTTAAAATGCTAGTATGTTTTGGCGACGAATTCGAAAGCGACGCGCATCTGTCCAAGATTAAAACTCCACTCCATAAAATTAAAGATGACTTCCCTGCCTGCAAATTAAAATGTGTTAAATTGTATTCGATTATTCTTAATTTGAATGTTTCTTTCAAAGAACATTTCCTGGCTTAAAGGTTTATGATTTTGTATGGTCTTTTCTCCGTGATTCTCGGCTGATGTGAGTTTTTGTAACTCAATTTCTGCCTTAACTCATGACCTGAAGTGAACTATACATTTTCTACTTTTAACTTACTTGTGGGTTGTTTCCACTGTCCTACACAAGTGGGTTACCAATAAAGCCCCTTTTCTTTGCACTGCAGACGTCAAATAAAGGCTTGATAGTCACAAAACAATGTCTTATGAACAAGGGGGAAAAATACAATGTCACATGAGCAATTCCACATTAAGACCCCATCGTTCAACAGTCAGATGCCCATCCTTTTCATTTTGCATCAAATCTTTGACTATGCAAAGCTATAAACCTTGCAGTAACTTCTTGGTGTATGCTCTAGGGGGATACGCTGGGGTGTGGGCTTCTTGGAACTGACAGGTACATACAAAAAAAAAAGGAAAGAAAGAAATAGATATAACTGCCCATGCAAAAAGACTATCCACAGGTGTTTCTTTTATTTGCACTGTACTTAGGTAACAAAAATAATGCACAACAAGTTCAAAACCCGTTGCGTAAAATAGGAAAATTGAACCAACTTGTTAGTGAATATAAAGATTCATTCAATGCACTTACAGTAAGTCAAGGGTATCCAATGACAATTTCCTCTTGAATACATTGAAAACATTTTTTAGGCTTAATCCAGAGTACTTTTAGATCTGTAGAAATACATTCTAAGTAGCACTAAAAAATTTTTATCTGCTCAGTCATCCAAGGGGAACTTGAGTCTTTTCAAAATTATAAGGGCTTGATTATTATTTTCTTGAAAATTGTAGATTTAATTTGACATTTTTAGAAATTAAGACATTTTCTGATTCCTCTCTCCATCACATTTTTGAATCTGAAAATTTTAGGTTTCCTTTTTTCTATGAAAAATAGCCTAACTTTGAAAGTGTATTGTAAAACTTAGACTCCAGAAAATCTTGGGAGCTTATCAGATAAGCTTCGAAAATTGTACTTGAATGGGACGGTTATCTAGAAATTTTAAGTTGTCCTCAAGTGATAATAAAATGTTCTAGGCAATATTTGCTTCTCCAAACAGATTTTTTACAGAAAACAGTCGTTGGGTGCCCCTGGTAAGTAAAACCTAATGTTAAAATCACATAATTTGATTTTCCAGTCACTGTTGGACAGTCGTGTGAAACAACTCATGGACTGGAATCAAAGAAAACCTGTTATAAGGTTGAATGGTGATAAATACAGAACTTATCTGAGGGCATCACCAAGGAATTATTCAGTGATTCTTATGCTCACAGCTCTAGCACCACACAGGCAATGTACCATTTGTAGGTAAGAGATATTTTAATGTGCTCTTAGAGGCTCAAGTCATGGTGTTTTAATTGTGGGATTCTTTCACTCTCTGCACTTGTTTTCAAATGACAATGAAATATTTTATTGATAAAGTCAACATCATACACATGTACATACATATCATCAGTATCATAGACCTCTAACAACCGTCACATTACTGTTAGTTCTGATGAAATTGAAAAATGATTGCACACCTTTTTTGAGCTTTTAAATCTACTTTAAGTGCTCTTTTGCTTGCTTTCATGTGGTGTTTGTAATGCAGATATCAACATTTAGACGGGGAAAGGGGATATGGGCATATGTGTAGGTGTGATATTTGAACACTTGCTTTGTTCCCTCTGTGGGGATTTTGACCACAAATTTTTGCCCAAACTGTGGTTTTGTTACCCATGAAAAGGGATTGTATCAGATTTGAACTAATTTCCAGTCCCAAGGATCAGGAAATTGAAAAAAAAAATTGCTAAAAACTTGAAATGCTAACCCTATGCCTGTGACCCACCAACACCGCCCCTCCCCGCCCCCCTTCCATTCAAAAATTGATACCCACATAAGCAGTTGTGTTTGGGTTTCCTTTTGCATCAAGTTTACCATTAAATTTCCAATGAAAGTAAAATAACAATACTCTGCTCATGCAATAAATTGTCCACATTTGTTGCTTCTTCAACTACATGTACCTCGGGGAAGAAGTTGTCAAAATATGAAAATCCAACTTGGATATCATGGCAATTCTTAGTTTTTCTCAAATTAAAGAGATTTGACTGTTAAATAGATAATACACTAACCGAACCTTCAGTTGACTATGCCTCTAAATTATATTCCAAGGTTATCCTTACCTCTCCTCTTTTTTGTGTCAGCTTATATAAAGTTCCTGGGAAAAGGAGGCAAATTTTTCTTGTCTTGTCAGGTAGCTACAATCAGGGACAAAAGTAGTTGACACACTTGTTTAAAACGGGTACTTTTAACAAACATTTAATCCATTTATTATTTCATTCCTTTTAAACGCCATAAATCCCCCAACCCCCCGAATCAATGTTGTCTGAAGTAAAAAAAAGACTTGAGTGTCCAAAATTCAACATTGATTTTGAGGGTAAGGGGTTGGGGTAGACAAGGGAAGGGGATAAGTACCGGTATATCCACTATGCAAAAAGGGGCCACTTTACGGAAGTGTGTCAACACTTTTGTCCCTCATTGTAGTTTTCTGATAACATAAATAATAACTATGATTCACAAATGACAATTCTCAATCTGTTGTCTTCTTTGCAGAGAAGCTAACAATGAGTATACCATCCTTGCTAATTCCTGGCGATATTCTCAGCAATATTCCAACAAAGTGTTCTTTGCAATGGTTGACTTTGATGAGGGACCAGATGTATTTAATGCAGTAAGACATGTTTTAAATAAATGTTTTTTGCATAAATTTGACTTCCCGATGGCACATTCTTGTTCATTTTAATTTGGGAGTATAGGTACTTTATGCTCCTCATGTGTATCTGCTGAAATGTTTCTTCTGTCACAAGTTCATTGAATGTCAGCCTTAGATGTGCTGATTGCATGGAAACTGAAACTGCATGTTCCGTTACTGTTTTTTTCTAGCTGCGATTGAACTCTGCTCCGATGTTTATGCACTTCCCACCCAAAGGAAAACCCAAAAAGGCGGACACCTATGATATTCAAAGGTACACATTTACTGAACAAACATAATGGCATGTGAAATACATGGAGTATGTTACATATTGAATTTTCTTGTTTTCTTTGTAGAATGGGATTCTCTGCTGAACAGCTTGCGAAATGGGTTGCAGAGCGCACTGATGTTCATGTAGGTAGTTTTTATTTTATTTTTTTTAGGTGAATTGTTTTGGAAATGCTTGTTTTAATTATTCTAAATGTGAAAGCTTTGAAAATTCATATTACATTTACTATTTAAGTGTCATCAAAGTCTATTGCAAAAAATTTTTGACTAAAATTAACATTTCTTAAACAACACATCTCTTCCTTGTCAGGACTCTAAAATGTAACTGTAATATCGTTCAAAGATATGGTATTTCCCTGGCATCTATTGTCACTATGATCACTTCAGACCCCTGGCTACTTTGTTCATAGCCAACTAAGGGAAATTAGAACCAAAAAAATGACGTAGCATATTATGTTGCCGCTCAAAATTGAATTCAGGTTAAAATTTTTCAACGTAGGGTTAAAAAATTTTAACCTGAATATAATTTTGACCTGGTAATGTATAAAAGCAACTATAAGTCACAATGTATGACAGTGCCCTGCCCTTGACATGAAAGAAGTTTGAAGTCTTTTTTCATAGCCATCTAGCTAGGGTAATTTTCATTCTTGTAATTAATATTTTCTAGTTATGTGTAACGATTGAACCCAAATTTGCTGAATTTTAGGTGAGAGTATTCCGTCCCCCTAACTACATGGGTGCAGTGATAATGGGATTGCTGGTTGTTCTGATTGGTGGACTGCTTTATGTGCGACGTAAAAACTTAGAATTCCTTTATAATAAGACCTATTGGGCCATTGGATGCTTGGTATGTGTAAGCTCTTAGACTGGTACTGTGACAATAATGCTGTGTTTTGATAACTGTTAGTCCGCACACATATTTATCGCATATTTTAACCTTACAGTACTACAATGGTGTTTAATTCCAATTTATTTAACTAAAAGTAGATATTTTTGTATTAAGATTTTTTCAACTGAAAATCAATTTTGACAAATTCCATGGTGGTACATCCTATTTTGTCATAGCTTTAACCTGTTTTGTCTGCATTATGATCAGTTGTTGCTGGCTCCTGTTGGCTGTTTCAAGGGGATAATCAACATTGAACTGTGTCCCCTGTGGGCAGCAATTGATCAGTTGTATCCTGTGTATTCCTCCCATGCCATTATTGTTGCGATAAATTAGTTCTGGTGATCACAAAAATGGCAGCAATTTTGGGTGCAGGTCCATAAGATTAGAAGAGGGATGATAGAGAATTTTGTGTTTGCCTGATTGAAATGCTATCAACTATTCAAAGCAAACCTCCAGCTGAGAAATGCTGGTCCAAACTGACAAATACAAAAATCACCATAGCCTATAAAATTAAATGAGATGTTAATATCATGGGTGATTTGTTTGTCCCTCTGTGGTAGATTGGGGAAGGTAGAGTTGTCTTTGTTGCTGTAGTAAATAACAAAATGATTCTTGATGTTTCCCTAGAGCTTTGCCTCTTGAAAGATCAAGCCATACATGTAAAAACTCTTGGGAAAACAATATTGTTTCGTTCCCAACTGGGGCTAAGTGTATTTATTATTATTATCTTTTCAGTTTATAGTTTTTGCCATGACCTCTGGCCAGATGTGGAATCACATCCGAGGGCCTCCTTACGCTCATCGAAATCCACAAACTGGACAAGTGGTTAGTAAGAAATGAGTGACTTAATAACTGTTCTGACCCCTGGTATCACTGACAAATCAGAGCCCTGGGTAACTGGAATTGCAGCAGCAGCATACAAGCTGTCATGCATGTAACCACATGTAACTACAGTTGTTTGTGACACCTTTAGACAGCTTGGGCCAGGGCCACGTGGTGTTTGTGAAATACTTGTATCCCAAACAGATAAGCTGTAAGAAAAATTGGCCTATTTCTATTGAAGGATGGGCCTAGTGGCACATAATCACTCAAAACATGCCTTTACCCCTCCCCTACACCCCTTACACACACTCTCCACTCCATGTTTCACTCTAGATTAAAAACTGATTAGTGAAAGCTCATCATGCAGGAAGCAGCACTAAGTTCGGAGAATTTAACCTTAATTGCAGTTTATCCTTTTGAGAACTACAGATTTTAAATTGTTGTAACTCTTTCTTACTTGAGGTGTGATATGCACTATTTATTTATGGGTTCTATTTGTACCCTAACTTTTATAGCTACTCTTTAATTTTTTATGTACCTATAATTTTCCACAGTTATATTTTCATGGTATTTTTCTCCTCTCTGCATTAATAGCATTTTTATTGTTTAATTGTTGTACATGTACCTTGAAGTGGGAAATGAATTTGCCAGTCTGACTCATAACAATTTTATTATTTTACAATTACTTTTATTTATTCATTTGTTATCATGCGTGAAGACCTAATTCTCTTTGCCTCTAGGGGTACGAATGTACCTCTCTGTTACAATGGAGGTAAAAACAAAACTCCCAACCATAATTTTTCCATATGTTACTTTAGAAAAAATTTAGTATTTCTTAACAATCATGTGATGTGTACAATACCATCTGTAGCGACCGCTTTTGGGTGAAGGCGGCGCGAGGGCAACATGCGTTGCAGAAATTCTGAAAGGTTCACTCCACAATGACCAAAACGTCTAACAAGATCCTTAGTTCCGTTTAATGCTGGTTCACAAGATGTTAACGGACCGAAGGGACCGTCAAAGACTGTAATGGCTATTACAACATGCTTCGTGCGAAGCCTAAAGAACTGCGTTGGGCGACGTTGCCAAAAACACTCCGCTCTCTCGTCGAGCTTACAAAAAACTGAAAACCCGGATGCGCGTGACCGGGTCACGTGTTAAACAAAACAACTGGGAAGGCGTTACATGGCTCCCCCATACATTGTGAAATGTATGACTTAACAATAAAATAAATGTCAAAATAAACTTAGTGTTCTTAGTGTTCAAGAGGGTAATTCTTTCTGCTGGCTCCCCGACGGGGTCGTACTCCGGTCTATCGAAGTTTCCTTCTGTAACTTGCATCAGTCGTCTCTTCCTTCGGACGATGAACAAGGATTAACTTGTGTACGGGTCTATCCAGAAGCTTCTTATTTCCGGATTCAGTATAGAAGAGGGAGACTTTGCGAACGAGTCCGTCATCACTGGGATAGACTTGGGTGACTCTGGCGAGAGGCCATTCATTTCTTGGGGAAGAATCTTCGCAAATCAGAACAATATCATCAACTTGGACGTTAGGGACGGTCTTGTTCCACTTCTGACGCTTTTGCTGCTGTAGACAATATTCTCTTTGCCATCGGAGCCAGAATTGGTCAGCCAAGAATTGAACTCTGCGCCATCTCTTTCTGGTGTACAGATCTGGTCGAGAGAAGTTGCCAGGCGGCGGAGGTAGTACTGCCTTCGTCTTCAGAGTGAGCAAGTGATTTGGTGTGATCGGCTCAGGTGCTTGTGGGTCTGACAAGCTGTCGGTGGTCAGCGGGCGGCTGTTCACGAGGTTTTCGGCTTCAGTGAAGAGAGTACGTAACCCTTCGTCGTCTAGCTGCGTTGACTGATCTTCGAGGAGGCCAGATAGAGAGGAGCGTACTGTTCGTATCATGCGTTCCCACACACCTCCCATGTGTGAGGAGCTGGGGAAATTCATCTTGAACTCGATGAAGTCGCATTCTTGTGTTAATAGGAAGTTCTTCACTGTGTCAGTGTTCACCTCTGCATTGAGCTCGTTTCTTCCTCCGATGAAGTTGCTTCCTTGATCTGATCTTAGTTGGCGCACTTTGCCTCTTCTGTTGATGAATCTTCTGAGCGCGTTAATGAATGAACTTGTTTCCATAGTGTTCAAGGTTTCAAGGTGTATCGCCCGGGATGAGAGGCACGTGAAGACGATGCCCCAACGTTTCAATTCCTTTCGGCCTTCCTTAATATACCATGGGCCGAAAACGTCCATACCCGTGTAGGTAAAGGGCGGTGCTTGTGTCACACGTTCTTCAGGAAGATTTGCCATCTTTTGGACTTGTGCTCGTCCGCGCAATTTGTGGCAAATGGCACAGCTTGACAGGAGATGGGAGACAACAGAACGACCGTTCACAATCCAATAACCTGCTTGCCTGATGGAGTTGTGGGTCATCCCATAACCTGGGTGGTGCTCTTTGCTGTGAAAGTGTCGGATGAGGAGATTCGTCACGTGACTCTTCTTTGGACATATGATCGGATGTTTTATGCCATAATCTAATTCGGCTTTTTAGGAGTCGTCCGCCAATTCTGAGGATTCCCTTGCTGTCTAAGAAGGGGTCCAGTTTGTAGAGAGAACTTGTCTTCTTGATCGTTTCGTTCCTGGTATGAGCACTGTGGCGATCCTGGAACATACCATCTTGGTGGTTGGCATTTTGAAGGATTTGGATCTCCTTGCCGAAGTGCTCGAACTGAACTGACTTGAGAATTACTTCTTCTGCTAAGCGTAATTCTTCGACTGAAGGGGGGCCGGTGTTGGGCCTTGTGTTGAACTGCCTGTTAGGGCGTCTCTGTTCTATCATTCTCTGGATGCGCACAATGCTCCTCTTTAGGCGAATGAGGGAAGATGAATGGCGAAAGCGTTCTGGTTCTAGAATACTGTGAGAGCTCTCCTTCTCCTCGCTTTTGGTTTCTTCATGGCTTGAAATGCAGACGGTGGACTTAGGTTTCTTCACTTCAACGTCTTCGTGTTGTAGATCCGCAACTTGGTCTAGGCTGATCACCGGTACTTCGCTTTCCCATAGGAATTCAGGGCCATTGAACCATAGTTCGTGTTCAGAAAGCTCTTTGGTGGTGGCACCTCTTGACGCGATATCAGCTGGGTTGTTCGGACTGCTAACGTAATGCCACTGCTGTGGGTTTGATCTGTCGCGGATGTGTTGAACACAATTTCCGACGTACGTATGGAAGCGTCTCGCGTCATTTCGAATGTACCCTAGAACGACGGAAGAGTCCGTGTAAAACGATTTCACTGGGTTACTGTAGTTAAGCTCTTGGCTGAGCATGGAGGCTACGTTAGTAGCAACCACGGCGGCGGTCAGTTCAAGGCGTGGAATTGACATTGGCTTTAGTGGCGCGACCCTAGCTTTGCCCATCAGGAAGCTGACATGTACTTGGCCTGAACTGTTTACAAGACGTAGGTAGGTTACCTGGCCGAGGCCTGTGTTGCTGGCATCGGAGAAGCTGTGTAACTCCACGGCAACTGGTTCGCCGAAATCAGGTGGCTTGAGACACCTTGCTATCTTGATCGTCTCCACAAGAGGTAGTTCGGATCTCCATTTTTCCCATTGTGAACGGATGTGGGCAGGAACTGGGTCGTCCCAGTCGATGCCTTCGCGGCACAGTTCTTGGAGCAACTGTTTTCCGACTAAGATGACAGGTGCAATGACACCAAGCGGATCATAAACTGAACTCACAGTTGATAGAATTCCGCGACGGGTGAGAGGCTTGTCCTTGAGCTCAATTCGAACCAATGGTATCAGACTGGATGCACCAATAGGTACCTAAGGATCGTTGGACAGGTAAGACATCGTGACGTAGATCGAGGTCCTTCAAGTCCTTGGAACGATCTTCAGCAGGTAAGGCTTCCAGCACAGTCTCACTGTTGCTGGCAAACTTGTGCAGGCGTAGGTTGACTGCTGCGCACATGGCTTGGGTATTCTTGATGACATTGATTGCTTTAGCTGGTGTGGCGAAAGATTTCAACCCGTCATCTACGTAGAAGTCGTTCTTCAAGAAGTCTGCGGCCTCATTGCCAAACTGTTCTCTGCCGGCTTCTGCTGTCATTCTGAGACCGAAATTAGCAACTCCTGGGGAGGAGACTGCCCCGAAAAGGTGGACGTTCATGCTGTACTCTACGATTTGACTCTCTAAGTTGTTATCCTTGAACCACAGAAATCGTAGAAAGTCTCTGTGTTCCGGGCTGACGTGAAAACTATGAAACATCTGTTCAATGTCGCATGTCACTGCTGTCTCTTCCTTTCGAAACCGCGAGAGCACACCAACGAGGGCATTCATCATGTCAGGGCCCTGTAGCAGATGTTTGTTGAGAGACTCGTTGTGGAAGATGGCACTGCAGTCGAAAACGATTCTAATTTGGTCAGGTTTCTTGGGGTGATAAATGTCAAAATGAGGCAAGTACCACACCTTTCCTGTGGCAGTCTTGAGTTGATCTGATGGGACGAGACTGGCGTGGTTCTTGTTAAACATTTTCTGCATGAACTCAGTATATTGCTTCAAAACCTTGCCATTCTTGAGAAGTTTTCTTTTTATGCCTAGTAGCCTGTTTAGGCATTGTTCTCGGTTGTTCGGCAGACTCAACTTGTCTGTCCTCAGTGGTAGCGGCATTTCCCAATTGCCCAGTTCATTTGTATGGATGCTTGTGGTAAGAAGATCATTGAAACGTCTGTCCTCGACAGACTCGGTGTTCTCAGTGCCTCGGATGGTTCGGCTATGATGTAGTTCACTGTAATCCAATTGCATCATTTCTCTTATCTGCTGGGGCGTAGTGACATCCTTAGATTGATGTTTGGAAGCGAAAGAGGCTACGGCCTCTTCTCTGGAACTGTTGCTCGTTGGAACATTGAAGAGGTTGTGAGAATCTTCTCGTCGTACGGTGATGCGGTTAACTGTTGCACAAGCCGTACTGTCTTGTTGGTTGTCTAGACAAACTGGACCGATGATCGTCCAGCCGAACTTGTACTCTTCAGCCCACGGCTCATTGTCTTTGCCGTATATAACGTGTAATGGCTGAAAGGCAGATGGGATGTTACGACCGATTAACAATCCTATCTCTACTCCGGGATGATAGTGGATGTGGTGGGCGATCTCCTTAAGGTGCGGCCAGAGTTGGGCAATGTTAGGCGTGGCGATGTCCTGATGGCTAGCTGGAATTTTCTCTTGTGAGTATGCAAACGGAATCCTAATAGAATTGTGTCGACTGTCTGTGTCCTTGATGTGCAATCCGTTTACTTTCTGAGTACGCACAGTGTTCACGCCCGCAATCGTACTGATATTGAGGTTAACTTCCTGGCCTTTGACCTGCAACTGGTCGAGAAGAGTGTCTGTGATGAAGACATCTGTTGACTGGTCATCCAGAACTGCATAGGTCAGCATCCTTGCTGAAGGGTTGTCTTGATGGAAGACTTCGACGAGAACTATTCTAGCGCATGAACGAGCAGAATGCCCTTGATTGCAGACTCGTGAGCAAGCAGACCTCGCTTCACTGGCATTAATCACTTTGTGCCTGGATGGGTCATGCAGTACAGTGGCATGTTTCTGTCGACATATCTTGCAATCTAGCCTGTCTTGTTCGCAGTCTCTGGCAACATGTTTGTTGGAATTAACACACTTGAGACAGACTTTGTTTTTCATTAGGAAATCTCTGCGTTCTTCGTATCCTAATTTCTGAAACTGTTCGCAATCGTTCATGCTATGAGACTTCATCTTGTGATAGAAGCAATACGTGTTAGCCGCAGTAGCTTTGGTAGTGTCCGGTTGCTGAGCATGGGTTGAAAGCACATTGGAGATTTCTATTGGTTCTTCGTGATTAGCATTTGTCTCGCCATTGTTACTGGGGGGTGAAGTGGAGGTCAGATTAACAGCTGGAGGACGCAGGCGGGGTTGGCGGTTCAAAGGTTTGAAACGGTCTGTCTGTGGTGTACCACTTGAACCTGAAGCTTGAACAATTTGAGGTATGTTGACACGCTCAGCGTGGTAACGCACTTCTTGAGCGAAGTCTGCAAATGAAGGGAATGTGTCCTTGCCTTCTTTCTTCTGAAGTTTCAGCACTTTATCAGACCATTTGGGCTTGAACCACGATGGCAGCTTTTCGACAAGACTTTGAATCTGTGACGGGTAATTAAGGACTTGGAGACTCAAAATGTGTTCGCTTGCAATCTTCACCTGTTGAAGGAAGTCACTGAATTCTTCTAAGGCTGCTGCATCGTTCGGTCCCACCTTTGGCCAGGTTGTTAATTTCTTCTGAAAACTGGTACTGATTATTGCTGGGTGGCCAAAACGTTCCTTGAGGATTGTGCGGGCTTGTTGATACGCACTTTCAGGGTTCTGCACTAAGTACTGAAGCTGCTCTACCACTTTTTTGGCTTTGCCATCCAAATATTGGTACAAGAAGTGTAGTTTCTGTTGGGCTGTCACTGGTGCTGAATCAATCAGACTATCAAAAGAATTCTCCCACAGGAAGAATTTAGTCTTGTCAGTCTCATCACCCTTAAAAACATCTGGCGTGGCTTGAGGGAGGCGTTGTAGCTGACTGATCTTGGCTAGGGTGTCAGTTAGTTGCACTGAATAATCTTGGGGTGCAGGGGAGTAGGCTGTATATGACGATGGTACAAACGCTGGAAAATTTCCGCAAAAACCTCTTGGAGGTGTGAGTCCAATTTGGGACATAGTACACGCAGGCGATGTGTAAACTGGAGGAGCTTGTCCTCTTAAGCTGAAGGTGGTTGCAGTGGTAGAGTGTGAGATTCGATTGGTTGATCCTTGAGGGCCTTGATTCAAAGATACAGATACAACGTCAAGTGGTGTGGACGATGACGTCACTGTCACTTTAGTCACTGGTGTTCTAGTGTCAAAGAGCGTTGTAGCAGGCGCACCCGGTGTAGACGTATATTCGTCAGCATTATTGCTGGCAATAAAGGTGGAAATTGGATCATAGGTTTCTGTCGGCAGTGCAGGCGACTGCAGACAGTTTTCTTCTTGCATTGCTTTTTGGTAGACTTGCTCTTGTGCAGTGACTTCTCCAAGTTCTTTTTGTATTTTCAACTGTTCCAGTTTCTGTTTTTGTTCGGCAATAACTGCTGAAAACTTCAACGTTTCTTCTAGGGCTGCTCTCTTAGCTCGAAATTCAAGCAGGGTCTCCTTGCAAGAACTTCTACTTGATCCCGACCCTTTCGAGACTCGTGAACGGTGGGACCTTTGAGATGTGATAGAGGCTGCATCATTTTGTAATTTGTCAATTTCTTTCACGGCTGTATCATGAACTGCTTTCCATGTGTCAAGCAGATAAGCTTGTTTACTTGTGGCCTGATGAGTTTCATCCGAATCATCTGATAGCTCTATCCATTGGTCAAAACTTTGTAAGACAATGTCTAACTCCTTGATCAAAGCTGAAATATCTTCCTTAATTTCCTTAGGATCTTTGCCTGAGAGGATTTGCTCTTTAAAAGTGTCTAATTTAGAGCGAAACTGACGGTCGTTATCTATCGCAGCGCTTCTCTTCAAGCCACATTTGTATTCCCGCCCTTTGGCCGTGAGGGTCCTGGGCCTAGTGTTACTCGAATCGACAATAATGTCGGCATTTGTAATCGATGAAATTTCCTCTATTTTTGGACGTAAAGACACATTATCCGGTAAAATAACAGATGAGCTAACCTCAGTCTTTGTTGAGTCGACGATTTCTTCGTGAGCTGGGCTTGAGGTGTGTTTTTTTGCGCTCTTCTCGATGAGAAATTCCTCTGGTCTCGACACGAAGGTTAGCCCGAGTCCGGTATCCTCGTGTTTATCATCGAATTTTGCTGAATCCATGGTAAAGTTCCTCGGCGTAAATACAATTCGTTGGAGTTCCTCAGATTAAACAGGAGTCTTCAAAGTTCCTTGAGGTAAATACGAGTCTTTGACTGTAGCGACCGCTTTTGGGTGAAGGCGGCGCGAGGGCAACATGCGTTGCAGAAATTCTGAAAGGTTCACTCCACAATGACCAAAACGTCTAACAAGATCCTTAGTTCCGTTTAATGCTGGTTCACAAGATGTTAACGGACCGAAGGGACCGTCAAAGACTGTAATGGCTATTACAACATGCTTCGTGCGAAGCCTAAAGAACTGCGTTGGGCGACGTTGCCAAAAACACTCCGCTCTCTCGTCGAGCTTACAAAAAACTGAAAACCCGGATGCGCGTGACCGGGTCACGTGTTAAACAAAACAACTGGGAAGGCGTTACACCATCTGTGTGTTTATCATCTTGCTCTATTTTTTTTTTCAGAGTTACATCCATGGAAGTAGCCAGGCTCAGTTTGTCGCTGAAACTCACATTGTCATTGTTCTTAGTATCCTTTTACTTTTTACTGGTTAATAATAATTATTCAAATTAAACTTTTTGTTTATTATAATTATTGGTTATTGTAGAAGTACTTTGGGCTTTGTCACGTGTCGATGGGAAGGAATGAGTCAGGAAGATAAGAAATGTATTTAATGTTGCAGAGGTAGGATTTTTAGTGATTGCCCATCTTCCAAGCCACAGGCTCATGTTCAAGAAGCTATACAAGCTAGTGTAATACAAAACAATATTGAGTATATATAAAAAGATTTAAAAGCCTAACTTTTAAGTACAGCATTCTTTAAAAGAGAAAACGTAAAAACAACGTAAGTAACAACGTCTCTACAATATCATAAATCGAAGCCCGAAGAACATTTGGATGGTAGACTATTTATGCCTTGACTGTTGTCAAAGATGCTCTTTATGTTGCTGGCATGATTCTTTTGAATGAGAAGGCATTTGAAGTCAAGGAAATTGGAAAACGTAGATGTATGTATCAGTGTTTGTTTGTTTGTTTGTTTTTTCAATACTTTGTGTTTTCCTAGAATATGAAGTCTATTTTTATAACTAGTTAAAGCTTTTTTTGAAATCGTGCCTTTGTAAACAGAGAAAGGTTGAAGAATGGCTGCAACAAAAATTGTGTCAAAATGAAATCTGCTTATTACTGTGACAGCGTTACTGCAACTTGGGCACTAAGCATCTTTTATTGTTAACAATTTGGCTTCTCCTATTATGAAAACTATTTGAAAAACAAAAAAAGAAATAGAAAACTTTGGGAATGTTAAAAACTGTGATCAAGCCAAGAAAACACACAGACTGTATACATTTCAGTGTTAATTGTTAATCCCATTACGGAATGAGTTTTTTGAATTTTTGAAAAGATATGAATTAATTTATCATGCTGTTTATTTAACACTGAGGTCACAGATAACGCAGGAAAATTCTGGAATGTAAATAAACTTTAATAGGATTCAATTGCGATCAGCTCTCATAAAAATCTGTGTTTCGACCGAGAATTTTAAATTCACTAGACTTTTAAAATGATAAATTCTGGCTTGAAAACCTTTTTATTGTGAACTTTCTTCCCGAAAAAATTGTGCAGTCTTCGTGGTTAGGTTAATGACTTCGGTTTTTGTCCGTTTCATGCCTATCCACTTAAAGTGTGTTTCCTTGTGTTTCAGTTGTAGTCATGGTCGGGCTTGGCCTTGTAGTACTGTTCTTCAGCTTGTTGCTGTCTGTGTTTCGTTCCAAGTACCATGGATATCCATACAGGTAAACATACTCTAAGAAAAAACAGAAATGAATTTGAAGTTTAAAACAAAACAAAAAAATGATCCCGCTTTAACATTGTTATATTATCCTGTATGCCCAAAAACTTGCTTTTGGTTCTAGTCTCAAAAGAGGTTTTGGATACGCTCAGTTCCAACAGCAGTTCAACACTTGAAAAGCTCGTGGTGACAAAGTTGGTAAAAAAAAGTTGGTGGTGATGGTGATGATGGTGGTGGTGCTAGTAGTGAATGTGATGGTTAAGATGGTTATTGTGGTTGTGGTGGTGATGGTGGTGGTAGTGGTGGCGTTGGCGTTGGTGTTGGTGGTGATGTTATGGTTTTGGTGGTGGTGTTGGCAATGACGTTGGTGTTGGTGGTGATGGTGTTGGCGATGGTGTTGGTGGTAGCATTGGTGATGGTGTTCTGCAAGCAAAAACAGATTTCAGCCCTTGTGTGAACAATACACTCACTGCTCTTACCTTTATCTAGTGGATTGACTTTAAGACTTGGATTGGTATCAAGGTAGCTATTGGAGTCTTAAAACAAAATAAAATCGTGATGTAATGATTTTAATCATGCTGTTCGTATCTCCTTGCAGTTTTCTCATCAAGTGAGGCCAAGACATTGCGACAAAGATCTCATCCTAGAGTTAAAAAGCAAATAGTGAGGCCATTAGAGTGTAAAACGTTTGAAGTAACTATTAGCTATGTTCGATTCTACGCATTTCTATAATTTGTTTCACTTGTATTGTAGGCTATGTTATGGAATAAAGTTTTCAGTCCTATTTCTGTCGCTATTGTTGCATTTATGAGGTAGTATTTTTGCTCGGTGAACGAAAAGGTGGTGGTAGTTAAATGGACTATTCCTATAAAATATACAGAACGCTGGGAAATGCTAAATGAAATGTACCATAAACAAGCCCTATCATACATACCATAATAAGACAATTTTAAGCAAGGGGCATACATACACCAACCCAGGGCCTGGCCAGTACCTTACGCATACGCACAGCCATATCACCTGGGCAGTGGCAGCCATGGACAGCTGTTTCACCCTTATTGGGGCTCATCGGCGTGGCATAGCTGTCGGGTCTATGAACGAGCAAACCCGTGTCTCAAAGACCCTTTACTGCCGATGAATAAAATCTTACATTATTTTTCACTAAAATTAATAGAAAATTTACATAGGTTAAGCTCCGGTAAAACGGGCAACAAAAACGTGCAACTTGTTTCGAAGCATTGCTTCAAAACGAGTTGAATAGCGATGTTGAGCGTTTTCCCACCCACGTTCAAATCTGTCTTGTAACAAATCAGCTTATGCAAAATTTTGTGGCGAAAACAAATAGCATTGTGGGGAAGATGAAAGCTACAGATAACGCCTGATCGAAGAACCTCTACATGGGAGAGAGGCCAAAGCGCAAATATTGCTTGTTTGTAAATATACAATACCGCTATTTGAAACAAAATCCAAGCGTGAACTTCGTGTTTATTGGAAAATGTTTCTTATGTGCTGTGCTTATCCAAATCATAAACATCTTCATTTTCGTTGACCTTCAAACTTGGAAAGAATCAAATTGAAAAACCACTTCTCTCTAAAATCACGGATGAAGCCCACGAAGGCCTCAACACACCATTCTCCTGTCTTGAATTGAGGGGGTGGGTTCTTGATGTCTTGATCCCATCCCCCCGAAATCAAGGATGAAAGATTAATATTAAATATTTCCCACACGTAAATTGACTGGTCCGCCAAGATAAGCTCTGGTTACCTGCGGGCCAGCACAGTGCACTCTTGTAAAACTCAATAAGGGAAATAAAGACTATTTTTGTTGTTGTAAAAGCACACGAAGGCCACGAGAGGGGAGAGGGGTCATAATTATCCGTCAATCAATCAGACTGTAGTTCCGGACGTTTTTCCGACGAAGGGGACCCTGGAAACGAAGTTGGAGCTTTGCGTTATTTATCACCTTTCTGAATGCTTGACTCCCTTATACGCGATAGTAACCTGCGTGTCGGGCTTTGAGAGTATCGGAGGCGGGGATAGGCTAACACAGTGGTAGGTATGCTTTGAGAAAGCAAAATGCGGACGTGGAGCACCTTTACACCGACCCCAGCTGAGAGAGTCAGGAGAGTGGGAAGCTAGGGAAATGCCTTCACAGTGAACCTCTTGGGACCCTTTGGGCGACTTATCATACTGGTAAAAGACAGAAACATCAATAGAAGAGGAGGGATGAGTTGAAAAACATATCAGTGGATAAAGTTGTTAGGTTTCTAAGGGGCAAGGCAGAAGTAGTCGAAGGAGAGTTTAAAGGAAGGTAAGACTAGCACGATTGACTAAGGACGATTTAGACGGTACGATTTTTGCTGACGACTATTGTGCGAGACTAGCATACGTCATGACTTCACGTCACATCGTGTCGTGTAAATAGGGAGTTTAAGATACGGAGACTACGGACTACGAACTACGGCTGGACGAGCGTTGTCCTTTGTTTGTAGCACTGGGTTGAGTCGTGCAAATATAGAACGTTAAGATTGCACTACAGGCAGCAACACCGCGGCAAAACGCAATGCGCATGAGCACAAAATTTAACATCCGGTCAGCTTTTTATTTCCGGTCTAGTATATTTAAGCAATAGACCACACTTTCTATGGGTTTACCGGCGTGATAACCCACGCGGGATGTTGGGAGAACACGAGAAAAAGCTTGTAAATCACGAGCCGAAGGCGAGTGATTTACAAGCTTTTCGAGTGTTCTCCCAACATCCCAAGTGGGTTATCACGCCGGTAAACCCATAGAAAGTGTGGTCTATTGCTTTTATAAAATAACTTTTAGTAGAATGGAGTCTTTTCGGTAAAAAATATGGTTTTAGTACCGTGATCAAGTCACGTCTTCTCTCTAAAGTCATCATAAGCCAATCATGACTCACGATTTAATAGCGTTGAACTTTCTTAAAACTCAGTTCAGTAAAACAACAAACAGCAGCACTTCAAAACGCGAGTTTTTGCACTCATTACATGATAACTTATGAAAGCTGTTTTACAGGAAAAGTCAACATTTATTCAAGCGAACGTACAATGAAAAAATACGTTCATGGTTTGTTTACTACCGAAGTAGAAATTAATTGAACATCAGACTGTACGCCGCTGTATTTTGTTGAGCCGATCAGTAAGAATTTTGTGCTTACAGACGGAACTGGCAGCTATTGTAATGGAGGACTTCATTCACATTTTACAAGCCGCAGTGGTTTCAGATCTGTTTTCTGGACTTTATTATGATTAAGAAATGCTGCGGTAACGACGTGGCTGCATTTGCGAAGTTGTCGCATGTAACTTTCATATGCACGTACAGCGACCGATGGAAATATGTCAGTGGTGGAGAAAAGTTTCTTTGCCGTAGCCACAAATTGGCGTTAATATTTGTCGATTTGTAAAGTCAGGTGTTTTGAGGTAGGTTATGGCATCCATATCACCGAATAATTTGTGCAAATGTTGGAAAAAACCAGCCCGAAACTCTGACATCTTTCATCATCGTTGGCAGCTTGTTTACAACCTACAGCGGCCGATTTTGTACCATATCTTGATCAGAGATCTCTTTTTGGAACAATTTCTTTTATTAAGGAATTTAATTTTGACATAAAATAAATCAAGAATGCTAAAACTATCCGTTTTGTTGCTGGTTGGCACATGGTCAAGTTTTCCTGGAGACTTTCTACACCAGAAATTCACACAGTTGTTGCCTTTCTCAGCGATTTGGCATCGTCGTGAAATGTAAACTGCTTTCCAGCTTTGTACTTTATTACTTCTAAAGCTATGGCAGTAATAAAATGTGGAAACCAACGCTTTTGATATTAAGAAGGGCTGGCTAACTAACTTGTTCTTTTTTTAGCCTTTCTAAAATCATTGTTTGCAGATCAATAGCCGGTTTTGTTTATGGCGCGTGGTCCGGATGCCTTTTTCTATGGGTTTACCGGTATAATAAACCATAGGTTTTTGACCAATCAGATCACCCGTACTATCTCAGTTATTTTATAAAAACCAATAGCGAAAGCATAACTTTGCCGTCGCGCCAAGTTTAAAAGCAAAAAGAGCGAAACAGACAAAAAAGGGGGCCAAAAAAATCACTTCATTCGAAAGCTTATATATATTTCTATTCTCAAACTTTTGCACCACATGGTTATCTGTTTGCACCAACGGTGAAAATGATGTTTGAAGTTTGCAGGTCGCAAGCGCGCGACAAGACGAATTTGTTTTTACTGGCTTTCTTGCATGCTACTGGTTTGG